TTTTCTTATTGCGTTCAGTTTTTAAACAAATTGCGTGTTCTCAGAGACCCCAACTAAACCCTTAACCTCTTTTTCCATACGAAAGCAGTTACTTGCAAATTCAGATGCCATTTAATACAATTCGTAAATCAATATGAAAATTGAAGCAAAAATTGTTCAACTTGTTGGAAATATAATACACGAACAACAAGAGTAAACAGAGATTGAGTGTAGATAAGAAGAGATGAAACTAAGTAATTCATAAACATTTCGGTTATATGGAGACATCATTGATCTGAATAGAGTATAACGTGCCATCTCTATTAAAAAGGATGTATTGTGCTTTATTAGAGGACTTGTTTTTTTAAGTTGATATAAATGAAAGGAGAACCCACAATTAGATTATTGTCTTGGATTCTGGAGCTGCTGCGTTGTAGTTCTCTTTTCATAATATTTTCTTCAAATTTGTTCCAGTTTGTTCCTTTATTAACTTCAGACATTAACGTTGCTGTTTAAAGCTCATAAGTAATAACCAGTAAAAGTTTTACAGCGTTCTCTTACAGGGGTGAACATAAACGAGAGAAGTGGAAGTGAAACCAGATAAGGGGAAGGCACAGAAATATTCAAATAGAGTCACTGAAATATTAATGGAGCCAGAAATATTTTCTTTGCCATCGCCGCCGTCTTTAATACTTTATCCCCAGATTCTCAGAAGTCTCTGTAACCCACGGTATGGTTTCCGTGTTGACGCTAGCCAGGGTGAAGCCGGGCCCGGGCTAGTTTACCAAGTGAGGTAATTTTTGCACCACCTTGTGTTGCTTATAGCTCCATTTGTTATCATGCTGCACTTTTGAGTAATCTCCGTGTATCATCTTTCCATATCCTGAATTGGTCGCCCACAAATCAACTTTTTGCATTCAATTTTAATTTGAAAATATATAGCTATGTAGAATATTAATTAGTTTTCGTTACGTTATGAAATGGGCCTTTTTTCCTCTTAATCAGACCAGTTCAGTTAAAGTACGATAAGGTTAGGATATGATCTTGTGCATGTCTAGATTTTCGATATTTTATCAATGTCAGGCATCAACCCCCCCCCCCCCCCCCCCCCCATTTTTTGCAATAATAGGTTACAAATTTTTAAAAAGTTTGCTCTAGCGAACTTTGGAAGTTTGGAAAGCTTAAAAGATAACTCTAGCGGATCCAAAGTAGTAGCAGTTCTGTAATACTAATTTGTGCTTTGCCTTGCTACACACGTCATGCTTCGCAACGACCGCACCGCCACGCCTTACTTGTGTTGCTCAGCATTTTAGTTTAATGGTTGCTACCAACAAACTTACATTGGAAGTTTATTTCGAATCTCATTTTGCTTGTTTTCTATGTTCACGTTTTCTAATTAACTCAGTAACACATTTGTATTTTCTCGGCAGTATATTTTTTAATCCTATTAACCTCTCAGATATTAAATAGACCTTCGCGTATCATTTATTTGTCCCTTGAGCTATACTATTATGTTGCACAATTATGTATTTAGATTCTAACACAATTAGTTCAGTTTGTTTTATGAGAGCGCTTGTGGAAGGTTCTCTGATTAGTCTGAAATTACGACTTTTCTTGTAAAAGTATTTCGTGGATATAGATCTTGTTGTTCCGAGAAATTTGTCGTTGTTCTTTCGTTTGATTCTGGAAACAAGTCCTTACACCGCTGAACATATTACAGTTCGTCCAGCGGAACCCTTTTTTGTTCATTATCTTGGTGTGCTATCTTGTTAAATCGTCTCCGAATTTGCATGTTTTTGAAATTTAAGTGGAAGAAGCAAGTATTTCCTAAAAGGGGCGTTTCACGGCGTTCTGAAGGGCGTGGCTTCAAAAAATTCTTCGTCACGCCCTTTTCAGCCTACCCACTTTTAGAATGGTAGGCGGTGCCTGATCTATGAATCTATGATGTTTGTGAAAGATATTGTCGATATGAAATATAGTTTTATGAAACTCAGTTCTGGATATGGAAAATCTCGAGTGGGAGATTTCAAGTTTTTGTTTGTCTTTATACAACCTAATACCATGCGAAATACCTTGCCTGCTGATTCCGAGAATTTTCAACAAAGCACCCCTACAAAAGCAAGTTTTCTAGCAAGTTCTGGCTTTCATTCGCTAAAGAAAAGGAACGGAAGTCAAAATATAGATTAAACTATTCTCCTTTCGTTTTTAGGTAGGCATAGTTCACCTCAGTAGGCCTGCTTTTATGCATAGATGTCCAAAAGACTACCATTAATTCTCTTTTAAGCCCCTCCGGGGGCTCCTTGTTTTTCATCACTTGAAAGGGGAGGCTAAATTGAGAGAGGGGGCTTAATAAATATTTTGTATTGAAAAACTTTTTATAGTGGTAAACTAATTTTTTGTTATTTGCGAAATAAAAAATATTAAATAAGCCTTCTATAACAATTATATTGTCATCGTCATCAACTATCAATTCTAAAATATCTTCTTAGGCCATGTCGTCTTCTGAAATTGAGCATTCGGAAAGGTCGACTTCATCCCTCGGAGTACCAACGGCCTGTAATTTTGGTAAAAGGCTCTCACACATGGCCCGTGCTTAAAGCACATTGAATCTTTGTCTTCGGATCTGTCGTAACTGAAAGAGACATGCTGTGAATTTTGGTTGATGAATAAAATGAAAATCTCTTTTTTTGTCAAGCTTATTTTTTTCAGAATCAGTAAAAATTTGGAGGGGGGCTAAATTGAGAGGGGGGCTAATTCAGTTTTTTCTTCTGAAAAGGGGAACTAATAAGAGAGGGGGGCTTAATTGAGAGGGGGGCTAAAAAGAGAATTTACGGTACATCGAGAAAATCCAGGAGCTTTTCCTTTGAAGCCCTTTACCAAGTTTAGCCTGATGAAACAATGGTCATAAGTTGTGGTTTTTTAGGTAAGTGTTAGCTTACCTAAACTAAACTAGGTTAGACAAGTGTCAGCAACATCTTGTGAGCCTGAGTTGAAACAGCTCCTGTCAAAAAAAATACCGGAGTGTGAGTCATGAAAATTCTTTTTAGAATTTCTTATTATTTATTCCTATACCAATAACATGCATCTACTTGAATTGCAAGTTTTTACGTCAATCTCAGTATCGTCAATCTCAATTTTACGTAATACAAGAACTTCCTGAAAAGGGGAGGGGGGCATGCTACAAATTTTCCCACTAATGGCATGGCTGTGTCGTTGGCGTGGCATTGGTGTATTTTGTATGTGTTTATTTACGCATTACCACAAAAAGCTTTCATTTTCACAAAGTAATTTCAAAAAGTATGTTTCAAACCTCCTGCATTCTTTTGGATTTTGGGGCCGTTTTTTATTCGTCATTAGCTAGTAGTTATCTTGTCAGATTTGTCTGCAGAGCCCTCATTTTTTGATTTGCCGAATGACTTATTTCTTGGGGGCGCAATAATCACAAAATTAATCTCGATTCAACTTGTTCTGGTTATTGTTTGTTTTCCTTTTGTTGATTTTGGAAAGGGCTATTTCCGTTACTTTCCCGGATGATTATATCCGTTAATTCTGTTATTTGTTGTTTTGTATACCCTGGGTACCAGAGCCACATAAACTCGAGAGCAGAATCAGACGATAGGAGTGGAAGAGGTATAAGCGGAGAGGCGTATCCAATTCTCCGCTTGGCTTTCCATTTACCATTCGAAATTTTGTGGCGTTGGTACCCAGGGTATGTCATGGGTAGTTTTATTCCTGTCGCCCTGTAAAAAACCTCACATTTTGTGCCTCTGTCGCAATCTGTGGCTCTGACATGTTAAACCTCCCTCCAAGAAAGGTTCTGGCGTTATACTTTGTTATATTTTCTTAACGTGTTGAAAATGTGTCGAGGAGAGAAATTATACTATAATTCCTTTATGTTTTTTATTGCAAAAAGTCGTTCGTTTCACAATTCGTCAGAAAACTCCAGAAGTTTTCCTGATAAAAGCAAAACTTAGTTAGAAAATTATCTACGGCTGTAAAAATGGAGCATATCCTTGTTTTGGAAAAAGGAACCAAATCAGGTGCAAGAAAAAGCCGTACAGTTTGCAATAAAGAAAATTCTAGGAAACATTCTGGGGGAAAGGTTATTTTCCTTTTTTCCGCGGAAAGGAAATCTTTGGCCTGCGCAATTGAGTTTTGAAACATTTTCCTTAGGAAAAAATTCTTTCCGCGGAAAGCCTTTATTTCAATCTCAGTGAACTTTAAATTGTGGGGTTTTGCCACGACCTTGACAGTCCTGGTCAGACGAAGGAGAACTTTGTACAGGTATGCCTCAATTCTGAAGCAAGTGAAGAAGAATTCATTATATTGTAATCTAATTCCACTTATTTTTATAAACAGTCTGATTCAGAGCAGATATCAACTGCTATAAAAATAGATTTAACAAGATAAAACACCAAGAAAATGAACAAAAAGGGTTCTCAGTCAAGACGAACTGCTACTACTTTGGAGCTGTCAAAGTAAACTTTTCTAACCCCTGTTGCAAAAATGTGGGGGGAGGGGGGCTATAGCCCCTGCTAGCCAAATGGCTGCACGGTGCCTGGATCGAAAACCACCAAATGAAATTCTCCTTTGAACTTGTCCTCCTGAAACGTTTTTCGAGAAACACAAAAGACATTTTCCTCTGCAATGCGAACTAACATGTTTTTATTTCGATATTCCTGGGCCAAAATTATTGCTGTCAGATCAAGGCATCCATTTGATTCACTACTGTGTTTTAAGGTGAAGTGTATCAAAATTAAAGGAAATTGGAGAAGGAAATTATTTTTTCTCCTTTTTGGCTTTGCGAAAAACTTTTCTCTTTCAAAGATGCCTACTCAGCACATCAATTTGATATCCCCCGTCTCCCTTTATCAAAAGTCTTTGAAATTTCCTTGTATGAGTTTGAAAAAGATCGAAACTGGACGCCTACTGCATACTTGCCCTTCAATTACCTTGATTTTCAATGGATTCTTTGTTTCCCGCCCGACGCCAAACGCCTTTAAAAGAGAGGGCAGTCCCTTGAACATTTTGCATAGTCATTTTGCATAGTGTCAGGAGCAGGCGAAAGGCTAGGTAAGATCTTTCATTTTCCATGTCTCAGCTTGACTTTATTGCTTGCGTTTAAAGGAACATGGTGAATGAAAGGGAAAATTTGAGATGTATTTTTACTTTACCTGCGTTTCTTCTTTCTAGATCAAAATGGAGCTGAAATTATTCCTGATTCTGTGCATATTAGGAAGTGCAATTAACTACCTGCACGGTAAGCTCCTTTACTCATATTATTTCTCATAATTTAATTGGTCGTTCGGTGCGTTTCCCTTACCGGTCCGAGATTATTAAAGCAATGTTACTTACTTCAGTTAGTTTCGTACCGTACTCTAGATCTCGGGGTAGCTTTACGAGAGCCACCTTTTCTGTTAGCAACCTTTTCTGTTAAATAGAGATTAAAACACGTTAATCTGAAATCAATTTTTCCGCCTTTGCTTGATTCTAAGAACTAATAAGCCTCTTAATGTTTCTCTCGTGTATCTTTTACATCGTACGCCTTTGGCGAAAATTCTGCTGTTCTTGAAAAAAATTCGCTAGAAATCCTTACAAACACTGTTGTTTTGAATAACTTGGTACGTATATGTACATGCTCGAAACGAGTACATGGTTTTGATAACGAGTACATGCTCGAAACGTGGTACGTAGATTGGAAAGGGTGGTACACCTCTCCGAAATGACATAGAAAAACTTTTCAATGGGCAGTGTTGCACAGGCCTCTGTTTATACCATAGTACGCATCCCATCTCTTATCGAAGGTTATAAGCTAAATGGTCCAGCTGTTTTCATTTTCACATATATTTTGTATCATACAGTTTCTTGATTCAATTATGATAGTATGTACCTTGCTCATTTGCTACAGAGCAACTGCAATTTTCAACGACAAAAGACTAACATTTGGTCGGCAGTGTTTTCTTAGTGCCAAGCGACCAGTTATTTGTAACGTTCATTAAAAAGAGCACAATAGGACAAAGATCGCCTGGTATGTAGGGGATTTCCGCATGATAAAAATTATTGCAAATTCAAAACGGCACTATTGATGCTAATATGTGCAAACAAAGCTTTTCAATGTATCATTTCCCCTCGGAACGGGGCGAAGTAGATGTAGGTAGAAAATGAGGTATAATCGGTTTTGAAGACCGGTGTCCGGTATCCTGGAGGGGGAAACCGGGCAATGAAAATTAGTGACTTCAAAATCTGCCGGGTATCCCCCAGAGCTTTGCTTCTTTTCTCAACTGCTTATCAACTTATTTTAGAGGCATATAAATGCATCGCTAGCTATCATTTTGTATGTTCTATTGATAAATGATTGTCGTTCAAAATTTTTCAGGTAAACCTTCCATTGAGGCTGAATTCGCGGAAGATGATTCAGGTATTGTTTCCTTCAATAGAGTTCTAAATGAGGATAAAATGTATTTTTTGAACATTTAATTTTGAAAAAGCATTGAATGCGTTGCAGCTGAGATGTGACCATATGAACCCCGGCTCTATCCCTAGCAAACCACTCTAGACCTGAGTCTAGTCTCACTTCTAAACTTAAACGAAACCAAAAACAGGAATTCTTTAGCAAACTTCATAACTTTCATTGGCAGTATCTCGCCTAACTTAGACATTCATCTGATTTTGCACTTTCAGGTTTTTTATGGCTTTCTTTCAGGCTATGGGGTCGGAATTTTCTTAACATATATTTTAATATTGATCCTTTGTTTCGATCAAGTGAGCAGATTTATCCCAAACTAGTGACACTAGTGACAACAGGATTTTTACCATAGCTAAGTTCTTTACTTATTATAGAAACAAAATTCGAAAAACTCAGACAATCCCAAATCATCTCAAGAATGCTAATAATATCAAATCAAGAGGCTCCGAAAAACGAGATGAAACTTGCGTAGTTTTGAGCAAAAGTTGTTAGAGTGATGACAAAAACACTACATTTGTGGCCCTGGCCCAACCTTTGAATCGTTGCTTTGATCCTGAATTTTTCATATCTTGGAACCCTATGTTTGTGAGATGACGACACTTTTAGTTACGAGAAAATGAATGCCTTATGACTTTAGATTTGTTATTTTTTTCAGACATGGAATATGATAGCAAAAATGGCGAGTCCATAACTGAGAAGATCATCAAACTCAACGAAAGTAAGACATTTCGGGATTGATGTGATAAATCTTGGAGGCACTGATAATATCAACGCTTCTTTTTTAAGGCCGAATAAGGCAGAATGCGTTGAAATATTGTCAAGATAAAGTAAGAGAACAAGAAAGTTTGTGAAGGAAACGTAGCTAGAAACCGTACTAAAACATGATAGAAATGTAAGAGCAACGGCTCATTCGCCTCGTCATGGCTTGCTCTTGTCAAAGGTGGTCTTGTTTCGGACAACAGAGCCCGTTCCACCGAGAATCGGGATGCGAAAAGGGAGGTAAATCGAGGGGTTTTAGTTAGGCTATCTTTGTTCTCTTATATTATCTTGATATTGTTTATTCTATAATCGAGAGTATGACCTGTTTTTTCGAGAAATATGTTAAAGAAATTAAATATATGCGGCAATTGCATCATGTTTGAATGACTTTCAACAAAGAACGATCTAGATAATAAAAAACCAGTGGTTGACAATGTTGGTTTCTATAAATTTCAATAAAAAATACGATCTTGTGACGATTGTTCTTGATTCAGAAAAAAAAGCAAAATGCCTCATCGATGGTGACGTCCGTGATGAAAACTGCAAAGGTGGAGCCGAAAAAAGAAACGCAGCAAGAGACAGGAACAAGCTTTGGCACACAAGACAAATCCCTTATGTTTTGGATTCTTCATTGAGTAAGCAAATTCTTATCGATTCTTGTTATTTCTTAACTTAATTCTGAATGTTTATCCTTCTGTTAAACCAACACCAGGAATTTGTCTAAGAATTTCTAGTTAAAGAGATATTTTCAGTCTATGTCATCGGCTATGGCATTATCAATGGCATCAAATCATTGATATTATATCAGTTATATCAAGTCAGTGATATCTGATATGGTCAATGGAGCATTAAGTTGCAGACCAATGGCTGGTTTTGTTTCAATGTGGAGGACTGGATACAATAGTTCTCAATTTTGCCTCAAATTAGAGTCTCTCTTTTCTCTATGGTACGCTCAGGCAGCATGTCTGAGTAGTCCTTGAAGTGGACCATTATTTGAGTGATCAGTTTTCTGATGATAAATTTTCAAACTCTTATTTGAACACTTTTATCAACACAATAACGCCTGGATAGCTAAAACCCTCCTGATACACATTAAAAAAAAAATCCATTTTTCTATCTGCTGAGAGGTAAAATTAATTGAAGGAATACTCCAGTGTGAATCAGCAGTTGATATGCTCTTTTCCTGCTCTGTGTTTGTTTGTTTGTGTGTGTGCTCTTTCACCTCAAATAGCCAATCAGCAAGCATTTCTTAATGTTTTTGTAAGATATCTTGAGCAGGTAATTACAGTAAAAAGACCATCTAATTATGATAACGAATTTGGGAACAAGATAGCTACAATGCCTGCCAAAAGTCTTTGAACACTTACCTCAAATTCCAAGGTCAAAGTCAATTATTCCCCCCTCCCCTACAGAACAATGTTGGTTTACAATCAAACGGGTTATGATTTTAGGAAGCACTTTCTTTTGCACTTCTTCTACGATATTTCTTTAAATTATCAGCATTATTTTAGGGGGAAGTTGCAATTTTTTTTCATGAAAGGAATGAAAGATATCAAATGCAGCGTAAATTGCTGGGTGTTCCAAGTACTTTTGGCAGGCATTGTAGTACAGCAACTATAATTTATTTTATTTAGGTTTCTGTTGCCCATTTTGTTTAAATCACATTATCAGTTCATATCAAGATAATTTAACGTTGGTATATAACATATCATTACAATCAATAAAATTTCAGTTTTCTTTTTGTTACTTTCCCTTGTCTATGAGAAGGTGTCTCAATTTGGTTTTTTTGGTAGAGACACAAGCACATTTTCTTCGACTTGTGAGCCTAGTAACATTTGTTAGGGAAGAAAAATCAAAATCGAAGAAAAAGGAGGAAAATTCAGTAGGGCCTTCTCTGAGATGGAGGGGTTTGAGGCACGAAGACTTAACTCTCAGTGAATCATAAAGTCAACCATATCAACCATGCAATCATAAAGTGTTCTAGCAGCATGATAAACCATGATCAGCTAGCTCTGGGTCCAACATTCTCCTTTAAATCTAAATACTGTTAGACCATTTCTTTTGCATTTTTTGAACACTTGAATTTTCTCTTCGAAGATAATCGGAAACGAGCGGCCATCAGGAATGCCATTCGAGACTACCACAGATACACCTGCATCCGTTTCACCAGAGTCTCGCCAGCCTCGAAGGAGCACTACATAAGATTCTTTTCAGGAAGAGGGTAAGCCAGTTTTGCTTTGAATCGTCATATTCCTTAATGCAGCAGATAAAGTTTGAAAGGGAAAGTATTTCTCGAGATTGAAATAAAGAGAAGATAATAACGTCGGGAAGCTTTCCCATTAACTATTTTTTTCTTTCATTCCTTCAACTTCTTCAAGTTATCGACATTTAGCGGAAAATGCATCGAATTTTAAATCAGCAGGTTAAGGAAAGGAACTGTGAAGTAAATTATGAATCGGGGCTCGCATATCGGGGTTCAATAGTGGGCTCACAAGATAAGAGCCAATAGCAAAATTGTTCATTCTTTGATTTCAAGTACATTTGAGGATTATTTTCGGGCTGAAGCCTTCCAATTCAACGAGCCTTGGTTAAGGGGAGATTACCGGGCCCAAATTCTGAGAATAGTAGACAAAGGTGGCCTTTAAATGTCGAATTTATGCCAGAAGCGGTAAAATTATGACAAATTATATCGTTGGTTTGCTCCTGCAAAATATAAAAGACACAATTTTTGAAGGCAGAATACTGCAAAGTTTTACTTTCTGTAGCGATCAAAACCGATAAAACGGATAATTGTGAATATTTGCGATAATGTTTCGTTGATTTCCATCAGGTCATTATGATATAATCATGTAAACTGTAGTAAACGCTGTTTTAAAGTCTCTTACTATCTCAAATTTTTTGAGTGCAAGTAAAGTTTCGGGAAATGCTTCATTTTGATATAATTATGTCAGTAAATGAATATTTAAATATAGGGCAAATGGAATATAGTTTCATTTTCATCCTTTTTTTCTTTAATTTCTTTCTATTTTTGTAACCATCTGTAAAATGATATAAGAATAATTGTAAAGGAGCGAGAGACAATCTTGATTTCAAGGTCATTTGCTTTTGTCATAAAAAATTATAAATACCCGGGTTCTTTTTGTGTTGTTAGTTGCCATTTTTAAATTTTGTTTGATGTGCTGCAGATGTTGGTCCTATGTTGGAAAAACGAGTGCGAAGCATCAAGACATTTCGATTGGGAGAGGATGTGGCATTAAAGGCATTGTCATTCACGAGCTGATGCATGCCCTTGGCTTTTGGCATGAACAGAGCAGGTATGACAGAGATAGTTACGTTCGCATCGTCTGGTCTAACATACCAACAAACAGACGCCACAATTTCAATAAGAAAAGTATACAAGAAGTCACGTCACTTGGACTGCCTTATGATTATGATGGAGTGATGCATTATGGGGCAAAGGCATTTGCAATTGACAGGCGATTTCCCACAATCGTAAAATTGCGAAACACTGGTGGACAAATAGGGCAAAGGCGGGGATTTAGCCTTACGGATATTGCACAACTAAACACACTGTATGACTGTGAAAGTATGTAGCAACATTCAATTTTTCTTAAAGTAGTTTAATCATATAACTTTTTAGCGTAGTTTAACTTGATCGATGATATTCAAAAAAAGCTAGGAAGTTTACCTTGTCTGAAATGTTACAACTGAAATAACTCTTTAAAAGTCGATAGAAACTGAAAAGCAAAAGCTATATATTATGATTCTAAAGTGTATAGCATGAAAATTGCATATTTACTTTAGATGTCAATGTGGACTACATTAACTACAAAAAATTTCGTCATGACAAAATTTCGGACAAATATTTTGACGATAATTTCTTCGACTAAATTCAAAATGAGACGAAATTTTGTCACGACGAAATTTTTTGCATTTAAGATTTTTGAGAATTCGCATTGAAAAACTATAACACGATGTCAAGAATCAAATTTGTGTATCCTTTATGTAGCCCCCATGTCTTCACGAATTCGATACCCCCATAGGATTGAATATAAAGCAACCTGTATGGGTTTGTTACTTAAGATTATGATAATATGTTGCTATTTTTGTGTTAAAAATCCACGACGAAATTTTATCACGACGAAATTCTGAAAAGTTGTCCGAGATTTTTTCGACGGAGTTTTGATTCCTGCAAGCATTTGCGTTCACATGTGCGCACTTGGTCAAAATATATTAGCACGGTCCTATAACCGCACTATGCATGTTGTTTTTTACTTTGTGAAATGCATGATGTCTGTTTCAGTATATTCTGAAAGTCATTTGGTAAATAGTAGCAATTTTTTTCGAAACAATCATATTTTACGTCATTCCCTTGAAGGCCCTTGCGGTAGTACATGGAGTCAATGGTCAAGATGGAGTCACTGTATAACCATGTCTGGTCGCCGTAGAGAGAGAAGGCAGCGCTTTTGCATTGACGAGGATCTAAGCAGATGCCGGGGTAATGGTGGCCGCAGAGTTCAAAAGAGAGAAAGAGCCTGTGGAAGTGGAAGAACCCAGGGTAATTTACAATTTGATTGATCACAATCATGCCATTGCTGGCTAACTGGTCTCTGCTTCTGAGTTAAGCTCTATATCGTTGGAGTAGTAAGGTCTTGTTTTATTGGAATTCTACTATTTTCCGAAACCTTTAGCTCCCCTATTAGATATGTAAGCCCCTTCGTTCTTATTTCAGGCGCCGCTCCCGTTTTCAAGTTAACAAATTCTTTCACGAAATCTGTAGCTGAGATATCCTATACACAAATTGCTTTTATTCTATTAGTAATGGGGTACTGGCGATGAGTTGTTAAAACTCTGGAACTGCACTTAATCGTGTAAATCTCTAAAAATTCCTTGATAGAGAATGATAACACTACTGGAGCATCCCTGTGAAGTCCCTTCATTATGCTTATATGCTTTGCAATGTTTCTTAATCTCTGATCCTGTATTCCTGGTATTCTGTTATTCAGAAAGCCGTTTTGTTCAGAGAACTGTTTTCTAACTTTTGTTCTTATGCGATTTCACCCACAGTAACAAGAGCCGTCGTCTGCGAAGGGAAAAATCGACTAATTGCCTGCCCAAGTGGACACAAGCTACACATTCTAAGCGCGAATTACGGAAGGACCAACAGATATGTGTGCAACGGACCTGGTCGCCCTATACGCACAACAGGATGCTACGCGAGGAAGTCAGTACCCAGCATTTCTTTCAAAATTGATCAATTTTTTGCTATGCCAAATGCCACGTGCTCTGATTTAATTTAGACTTGCCTTTATGATTTCGCTTTTTGATTTCACTTTCATACGAAGTGCATGTCACCCAACATTAACCATCTGCCGACCACTATCATAGAAAAGTCACTTGCCTGGTCCCTAGAACTTACTTTCGATTCAGGTGGGAGTTTTAGGTATCCTTTGAATGCTACCAGTTATTTGTGATTTATTAAAAACTATTTTTTTTAGCTCCTTGAATGTAGTCAGAAACAGCTTCCGTTGCCAAAACCGAAGAAGCTGCAGGCTCTATGCGCTGAACAGGAGGTTTGGTGATCCTTGCCGTGGCACATTCAAGTACCTTGATGTCAAATACCGGTGCTATCGATCAAGTAAGTTCTCACTTTCACTAGGAGAACCATGTTTATATTCATTGCTACTTAATTATTACCCATGAAAATTTAGAAATGACTTTAAAAAAGCAAAAAAGTAATTATTCTTAAATTTTAGCGATTTTGAGCCTCAATGTCTTTATAAGAATATATTAAGTCAAAAGTGTGTAGGGAGTGAAAATATTTTGTAGGGAGCAAAAATGTTCCATTTTTATGTACATCGATTCTTAAACTACTAGAAAAACGATCGGACAACATTTACAAGAAAAGTTTGTGCCAAAAACTATAATGGCAACATCTTTTGGATAATCTACCTGGCCTAGTTGTCTTTGCCATCCAGGGCTGTTGCTCAAAAAAGCTATAACAAGTCTTTGAATAAGTCTGGTTCATTTCTAACTAGAAAAAAAATTCATTTTTGACAAAATGTTCTTCTATCTTTAGGAGGGTAAACAGTCATGACGCCCAGAGAATTGCACGAAGGCAGAACGAGAAGAAAAGTTGGAAGCTTTAGCACGACAGTATTAAACATTTTTTATTTGAATTTTAGACATTGGATTTTTTAGAGTATGGCATTTGTTGCCTTGTCCACTTTTACATTATTCAATAAGTACAGAAGCATTTGCAAACAATCGTGTTATTCTTTTCTGGTTCGTCTGTGAAATCATATCGCATAACATTCTAGCTTTGTCAATGCACAAGGTTCTTTTCTATCCAAGTCAACCATGTTCTTAACGTTCCCTTGTGTATACGACGCACCTGAAACCTTCTTACAGACGCAGACACCTACTCTGAATTTTCAAAATAGATCCGTTAAGAGCTGTGTCGCAATTGGCTGAGCGATTGGCTTTTCCGCAAATTATTTTTGAACAAAAAATTTAGTTTGTGTATAATGAATCTGAGTGGATGTTCAGTCACACTTACAGTGAAGGACTAGCAAAAGCAATTTGACGCTGACCACGGGATTGCCAACGGGGATTGGAATTCAGCCGCCATCTAACGGAACTACAGTTAATGATTGTTTGCTGGTTTTTCAAAAAACTCCTAAAATTAATGAAAGTTTCTAAGAAGGACCAAGTTATCCGGCCAAATATAAACCTTACAAAAAAAGTTTTTGAATCTGACATTGCATTTTCTGAAAGCATGCCAGATGGTTTTGCAAACTTAAAATGAAGTGCATATAATCTTTTTAAATTTAGCTTTTTTTCAAATGACATTCCATTCCAAATTTACTCAAAATAATGGTTTGCTCATACGTATTGTATTGTATTGTATTGTATTGTAGATTATTTAATGTTAGTTTTTACAATAGTGAATAAACACTAATTAAGACTAACATGAAGCAATTTCAAGGATTGCATAAGACAGTTCATTTATTGCAAAATGAGCATGCGCACTTGCTTTCAAGGAACCAAATTTTGATCAAATTCTTAAATTGTCTAGTATTTTGTGCTGTCTTTATTGATTCCAGAAGTGAATTCCAGATTTTAGGCCCTTGAAAACTTAATGATCTGATACCATTATTGGTAGTTCTGGCTTTTGGAATGTCAAGGGGGTTTTTGAGTCAAAGGTTATGACCTGTTGTTTTGGGTACAAAATAGTCTTTCATGAAAACAGGATTAAGGTTGTTAAGTGTTTTATAAACTTCGAGCGCTAAAGTTCTAACTGATTGGACATGTATGGTAGTTTCTTTTGAGTTAGCAAGTAAATCTTTGTAAGAAGATGAATAGTCCGAAAAGGCTAGTCTTAATGCACTCTCGTTAATTTTCTCTAGCTTTTCCTGACTTCCTTTACCACATAGCATCCATATCAATGGACAAAATTGAAGTGACATAGTATAAATGAATTTATAATTATCTTTTTTCCCTGTCGCCCATAAATCTTGCCAGTCTTTTTAAAGAATTTAACTGTTTAGCTGATTTTTTACAGATCTTATCGATATGAGCATCAAACTTTAAATTTTTATCGATCTAAACACCCAGCAAAGTAACGTTTTTCTCTATTTCAATTGCAAATTTTTGGTCAATTTCAAACTCATTTATGCATTTATCTTTGCTGCCGATTGTGATAGCTTGAAATTTAGAGGGATTTGCAATCATTTCATTAGATTTAAACCAATCAAGACATTTTTTGGTGTTAATTTTTACAAGTTGCAATAGTTCATCAGTATCTGTTGCAGTGACAGATATCGTGTTTTCATCAGCAAAATTACAGAAAGACCCTTCAGTAAGGCTGTAAAAATATGATTTAGGAAAATATTGAAAAGTAGAGTACGTAGTACCAGTTCCCTTGCGTAGCACCAACCATCGATAATATTATAATAGCACATGGAAAATAATGTTTGGTCTTTTGTCTCAGTCTGGCAAAATTTCGTTCTTGTCTTGGAATTATTATTAAAGTTCTAATTGTGATGCTCATAGAGACATGGTATTATTATATCGCTTACATGCTGTGTGTATGATTTTAAGATCAAATTGATAAACATGGATGGCATTCCTAACAGCACACAGCACACAGCACGCTTCATTACGACTTATTGAAGGCCTGAAGAAATGCCATGAAAAAAGATATGGCTGGTGCAGTCAGTGGCGGATTTAAGGGGGGCAACTAGGGGCAGTTGCCCCTCCCTCAACGAGTTGAAGCAAGTCTGGTGCCCCTTTTTTGAAAATTGTGCGCCTCTTTTGAAAAATGAGAATCAGATGAAAAAGTTTCTTGGACCGATAGGTTAATTTGCTTCAAGGATTACCTCAAAGTTATGTTGTTTATTCTGAAAAGGTATCTGAAATTGTTGTATACAGCGTACTCATGTCACCAATTTTTGAAAACTTTCCAGCGCCCCCACTACCAACTGCCCCTCCTTCAAATTTGCTCTGGATCCGCCCTTGGGTGCAGTGCTTATGGATTAATCAAAAGCATTTGATCTTTTACCTCGTATACATTACCCCTTACATTAATCTTATAGCTTCAGCAACAATGCAATATAACTTTTGGTATAGTTATCTAGATAAAAGAGTACTATTGCTATTCATAGACTCAACAGATTGTGAAATTCTCAAATCCTGTTTCAATAGATTTTGCATGATTTTTAAAATGTCAGTGATTGGATGGAAATGAAGCAGGGATTTCCTCAAGGATCAATCCTAGGCCCGTTGCTTTTCAATATTTACACGAACGACGTTTTTCTGCATTTGAAACAAAAGCAACTTATGCAACTATGCAGATGACAATATAATTTGGCTGTCAAGTACTGATATGAATGAATTAACCCTTTCACGCATGAATTTTTGTTAGAGACTCGAAAAAAATATTTATTGGCTGAAAGTTGTTGTTGTGGGACCCTCTTTGCAAAAAAATATTTTTTTTCTGAGAATCCTTTGGAATTACATTAAATGAATTTGTTGTTCCACAACAACATCATGCATCAAAGGGTTAACAGTCTCTTCAGATTTGATAGAATGTCCTTGAAAGTTAAGATTCGTGCCACAAGTATTTGTCTGGTCTTTTTTAACAAAAAGTGCATGGTATTTGTTCGGGTTCGCAATCATTTCACTTTGTTCGAGCCAGGACAAAGCGCTGTCGGCTTCATTCCCTGACATCCATGACCCTGACAAGATCTGGCAAGGATTTTGAAAAGAAAGCAAGCGTTTTGTCATCAGCATAATTATACATGGTTGCTTGCTTTATAAAAGAGAAAAGGTCATTTATGAAGAAATCGAAAAGAATAGGACCTAAAACGGATCCCTGTGGTACTCCTGATACAATTTCTTGAAAGGAACTGTAGACGTTATTTATTCGGACACTTTGCTTCCGTTTTTTAAGATAGGAATAGACAAGAACCAGGGCATTTTCATCAAAACCATATGCATGAAGTTTAGCTATAATCAAATTATGCGGGATGCAATCAAAAGCTTTCGACAGATCCGTCAAAACGGACCCTACAATAAAGTTGTTGTCAAGCTTAGATTTCCACTCTTCTACAAGTTTAATCAAAACATGCTGTGTAATTTAAGCTGTTCTATAAGCTGCAATAAAAACTGAAGGAGTCTTATCAAGGAAGGGGCTGAGCTGTTCCTTTAGAATTTTCTCAAAGATCTTGAAAAAAGTGTTGAGTATACTGACTGGACGATAATTTCTCTCCACAGTGAGAACTGGCTCACCTTTGTCTAAAGGGCAAACTGCAGCAGTTTTTGCATTCTGAGGAAATATGAAATTTCGAATGCTGCAATTGATGGCTTTAGTAAGAGGCACAGTCAAATAATCGCTAGCGAGAAAAACAAGTTTCGGTGGAATTTGATCAAAACCTGTTGATTTACTACCGTCGAGCATTTTCAGTTGGAGCCATACCTCACTAGCAGTAACCTCATTGAAAGAAAAAGATTGAAAAGTTTGCTCAGGTTCTTGAAATATAGCTAGAATGCTTGGATGATCCTTGTAATTGTCAAGAATTAACCTTACAATTTCGCATCGAATTCGCATTAGCGATACTGGAAGGCTTCTTACCAGAAATATTTTCAACTATATTTTTGTAATAGTCATTAAAAATCTCACCTAAATCATGGTCATCAGTGACTATTTTGTCATCTTTAATCAGGGAAATATTGGTACCAGCTAGAACACCCTTATTTGAGAAAAAAGGTTTTACCAGATCCCAGAAAGCTTTATTGGACATGAGACCATTGCTTGTAACTCTCTTGAAGAGATTCTTTATGGTTTTTTTACGGAGAGCAACACAGTGATTTCGCTGCTTTCGTTGCTTCTTGAAGGCTACTTCATTTTGCTTTGAAGTATGTTTATTTAATCTTCGTTCAAGCCTAGCACGTGTGTACATCGCTTTTTTCAGCTCTGGGTTCATAAAGGGTGCATTGTTTCCCGTTAGAAACTTTGTTCTGATTGGATCGTGATTGTCCAATATATTTCGGAAAGTGTTTGTCGGATGGTCGTAGGATTTATCCGGGTCAGTCCTGTCGCATTCAAATTGGATATGCTTTACATCGCTCAAGAAATTCTCTTGGACAAACTTTTTGTAGCTGCGATACTTTATTTGTTTCGGTTTCAACCTAGGAACAGTTGATTTCATAGTGGTAGCAACAAGACTATGATAGTCACTTAGACCTGTTTCGAAAACAGAGGTTTTCTGAACGGACTTGGTCGATTTGTCAGAATAACATCAATTGATGAGCTGTGATTTTTAGTGAAGCAAGTTTTCGACGTCACTGAATTGGATAGACCGAACACATCAAAAAAGAAGCTAATTTGACGAAACAGGGATCTGTTTCATTTTGAGTATCAATATTGATATCGCCCATTAAAATAATTTTGTCGTACCGATCCAGTGCACGATTTAAAGACGTGGACAGGTCTGAGAAAAATGTTTCTATATTAGCATTTGGTGGGTGGTAAATACTATAATATATCCATTTCATTTTTGCAACCATGAGTTCAGAACACAATAGTTCAAGAAACGTGACTTCAAAATTGAGCAACCTATTGCAAATAATGCCTTTCTTTGAGTATTGCATAAGACCTCCTCCAAATTCAGACCTATCCAGGCGTGTTGGACTTTTGTAATTATTAATGAGAAACGATTCCGTTTTAAAATCCGAGTTTCATTTTGTTTCTTCTATGAGTAATACATCAGGTAAACATCTTTCAGCGATCACTCTGAGATCAGTGATTTTATTTCTAAGACTGTTTATGTTTGAAAAACCTATGAGCAAGTTCCCAGCACATTCAGCCCTTAGACTAAAAAACTCATCGATATCGTTACTGTCAGACTCGCTACTCGGCCCCGATTAATTTTCTGCTGATGAAACTTTGCTAGAAGTTGAATTGGAAGAATCAGACCCTGCTAAACTATTTACAGAGGATAAGAGCTTGCTTTCGAGAGTTTGTCTAATAGCGCTGCTACGATCTTCTCTGAAAACTTCTAAGCTATTTAGTCAGGCTTTTGATAAAAAGGTTATAAAGTTACCTGTGAGGAGGTTTTTACCGGTATAATTTAAGTGGAGTCCCCAACGATCTACGTTCTCGTCTTGTATATTGTCATTGTTAATAGAATCTGGTAATTCCTGTTCTAATATTGTATTGACATTCATTCTCTTCTCATCAAAACCCAAACTGTCTGTTCTCCGTATAATGCTCGATACAGCAACTTTTTTGTACTTTATTTTTTGTGTTGATGGCCAGCTCAATGATCTCTTTTGCAACTTGGTTTGGGTGATTATTTCGCAGATTATTTTTCCTACACATGAATATTATTTCGTCAGGGTTCATTTCAAGTGATGGTATGACATGCCATTTCATATGTCCCACCGTAGCACCAGGAAACGTCTTGACATAAGTGCTTTTTTTCGTTTCACTTCTTTGTTTCTTCAAATTCCTCTCTCATTACAGAACTCTTGAAATTCCTCAGATGTAAAGGTTGCTGCATTATCACTTACAATTGTATGCGGATATCCGAAATGTGCGAAATCTTGTTCCAGATGTAGCATTGTAGCTTTTGATATTATTGACTGTGTCTTGTGAATACTTGGAATTGGCGTCAGTAGCAATTAGCCAGTTGGAACCCATAAAGTTAATAGCATGATTAACATGAATTCTGCGCCAAGGCTTCTCAGGCAAGATCCATGGCTTAATTGGTGCTTTTTCTGGTGCATTCTGATGCTCTGTGCAGCTTGTACACCCTCTACACCCAGTTAAACTCCTAGGTGTAACACTAGACTACAAATTGAACTTTGACCCACATATATCAAACCTTTGTAAAAAAGCAAATCGGTAAAAAATTTAAAATAAGGTTACGAACAAACAAAAGTCATAAACATGTTTCGATTGAAGTACCGAGACGTGTGAACATAGTGGTGTGGTGTGAACATGAAGAATGGAATGTCAAGGGAACAAGACAGATAACTATAAAAGTAGTTAACTAACTACTGATTGTTCACTCAAGTTTTAGAGTTTTAGAGATATAAGTACTTGTGTAAATCATAGATTGGCACTGTGTCTTTTTCTCTGTTTCTGCCAGTGATCGCATTGTTAAAGGAGGATCTAGCTCTTCGGTCACCGCAAGCTAGCCTAACAAATGCGTAAAAATACAATACTGACGATTTAGAATCGGAAGCAGCTATTCTTAATAAATGGTTTTGCGAAAATTTTTGGTGCTCAACGGTGATGAAAGCAAGCTTAGAACTTTTAAAGGCAACCGATCCAGATTACAGGAATCTAAAATTCAGATAAATAGCTCTACTTTGAAAGAAAATAAGAATGTAAACTATTGGGAGTAACATTAGACCAACAGCTTAGATAAGAAGAAAACATTACAGTTTTTGAGTTTTTGTAAAGAAGCTGTGAACAAGGTAAACGCTCTAGCCAGGATTGCTTCCTATATGGACGAATCTATGCGAGCTCTTTTAATGAAAACATTCATTTGATCATATTTCAATTAGTGTCTTATCATTTAGATGTTTCGCAACAGGAAAAGTAATAGTCGGATAAACCGGATTCATAAAAAGGCAATGAGAAGAGCTCACGATGATTATGAGTCAGCTTTTGAACAACTTCTCATAAGAAAACTTTACAAAATCTTGCGATTAGAAACTTATAAAATATTAACGGTTTGAATCCACTTTTTATGGATGAAAAATCTTCCAAAAATGCATCTCATATTTCTTAAGAAACTCCTAAATCAAAACAGCGGAGCCATATTACAAAAATATATTGATTTAATAATACCCTATTATACAGATTTAGCCAAATATGGAAATGAGATATTCTTAGTGAGAGGGAGTTTACACAAGACTGAACTGTAGCTTGTTTACTCGTGAACTGATTATATTACAATAGGGACTGTATACAAATAACAGCGTGGCAATGCAAAATACTAAGGTCAACACTAAACAATGGCACATACAAATACTACGACATCAGGAACTCAGTTCCAAACGAAATGAAATACTCCCCAACTTATCAAATATTCAAGAAAAAATCTCAGCTTTTACATCGTTCAGTTGTACTTGTGATCTTTGCAATTTGCAAGGATGATATATGCAACATCGGTTACATTTGATTTACACTATATTTAGCGTTGGTTATTTAAATTAGTTGTTTTAACTGAAGAAAGCCAATAACAGTAGATCTGAATGGCTTCACACCAAAATCAGATTCTGACGATCTAGAAAACATACATACCCCCCTCCCCCCGTCCGAACTTTCATCATCGGATTCGCAAGACTCTCCAGGACTAGTCCTTCGCCACTGCAGTGGGGTGCTGGGTCCAGGTACTATGTAGTCGCACTAATCTCGTAAAAGATTTTTTGAGAGATCCACCGTCCGGGGAGTCGTCCAGGACGACGAACCTTGCGCTTGCGCACTCATCTCAACGCCCAGTGACTTCCTTGTCGTGTTGACTGACCAGAGTCCGCGGCTATTTTCTTCTGAGGAGACGATTTTGAAACAAAATTGCTGGTGAAATGCCTGGAAAAGACGTTTTTGAGTTGGTGCAATGTCCTGTTACATGCCATGCCTTTAATAGCGATAGATCCCGTGAGTACACAAAGTTTTAATGGATAGATCTTTGGCTTACGTTTAGGCCCTTTTCCTCTATCTACATGTAGGTCCTTTGGTATCCCGCAAATATAGTGGAGGGATGACCCGTTTCGAAACTGTATTTCCTTAAATTTAGTTGTGGATTTGAGCTTTCATTGCTCAAGATTTATATACGAGGTTACTTTTTAATAAGCGATATCACAATTTCTGTTGATCTAGAAGAATGCCAGGCAAAACATCTTATTAATTTACTCGTGTGTAATTTCCCCAAACAGTCGTATTAATTTCTAATTTTTATATACCAAGAATGACTACATATTTATTCCATGTAGAGTGGCATCACTCTCTTGGTGCACTTTTTTATACATAATAAAGCTGTTAAAAAGACTGTTACCAACGTATAAATGAATAATACCACTTTCCAAATATGTGCTTTATAGTCCGCTGGGAATCAAGTTTATAGGAATCAAAATTAACTTGATCTCAAATGAAAGCATGTGGAGCATAAATACCTGATACATTATTACTTTTTTAATATTCAACACAGTTTTCGAGTTATTGAGCGTCAAAGTTAGCCGTCAAACATTCTCCGAGCACGAACGAGTTTGCCCGAGCCTTCCGCGTAAGTGTGACGTCACAAACACCACATTCACATCACTTGAGCAACACAACAGTCTGGAAGGCCATACTTTTATGACTTTGCGGATGAGCATCAATACATTATTTTCAGGGGTTAAGAACCTGGTACGATCGGGCTGCTATTTGCAGGAAAACAACTTAATAAAATTTTCAACCCCCAGGCCACTGCACTCATATAATTCGAGTGAACCGATGAATTTGCAAACCCAAAACAACGTTCATTATCTATTTGGATGTAGAAATAAAGTATCAAAGGAAGAATATTTTGGATAGATTTGAAAAAGAAGCTAGATTCATGATAAAATGAAAAAATTCGAACATTCGTCGGCATGATTAACTTCAGAATTGAGAATTTCTTTGAGCAGCTAAAAGTGTCTATTCCTTCCAAGCTAGTATCCCCTCCCAACATTATGCAGTACCAGCCAGCACATATCCTTTGTACATTTCATTAGCCTCAAATTTTCATATATCATGGATCAAAGGCTACATAGATAACTCCTCAAATAGTAACTGAACACGATGAACTGTCCACTTTGTGCATATTTGCATTCAAGGAATAAAAACATGGTGTTTGTGATGTCACACGCACTGGGTCACATGAAATGCCAAGAATGGTTGAGCACTCTATGATATTTTCATGACATTTAAAGTGGAATTGCGTCAAATTGTACAATGATAATTAACCGAAAACATGAAATTAAGATTCCATGCATCGTTTTCTGCATTATATCAAAAAATAGTTTAACGTGTTAGTTCACCTTTAACATTCAAAACAATTTCCTAGAATTTGCAATTTGAACAACTGGTTGTTTTCATTAATGAAATCTGGGCCACTCGCCCTTATGGTGAACGGGAAAATTGAAAATATAGTGTTTTCCACCTTTTGCAGAATTTTATCTAATCTGTGAAAAAAGCATCATTGGGCATAGAGAAATCTTGAAGCCCCTAAGGTGTCAATTAAATTTCTTCTATCTTTTTTTTCAGGAGTTGCAATTTCTCCAAATGACCAAACAGTTATAATCTTCAAGAAAATTGGGAATAAGTGGGAAAAAGAAGCTGTTTTAGATGAGGTCTGGAAGAGCACCAATGCTCATTAAATTGTTTACTGTTTTTTGCGGGTACTGTTGGGAAGGGAGGTGGGAATTTACCTTTTACGAAAGACTCATAAATTACAAGAATTTGCTTTATTCTGGGCTGGAAAACTTGCATATACTTGCAGCAAAACAGACATTGGCAAACATGCACTTTTTATGACGCAAAAATGGAAAAGAGATTTGTGCAAAACTTTACACTTGAACAAATCCAAACACAGAAGACTATATTAGACACTTTTGACTCCAAATTTTATAAGGAACATTAAATGTTCTTAACAAAATTTTCGTTTTCAATTGCTAATTTAACAAAAGTAGCAGACTTGCCAATTATGCAGATTTGCGGATTTTGCTACCCATATTCAGCCCCCTGTACAGACTTCACTTTGCTTTAAATCTAGATTTTGGCAACATTTAAATAAATGAAAAATGGCCCATCATTATTTTTTATGCATTATCTTTATGGATTATCGACATCTAGCCGGTCAAATACATATAATAGCTGTGATGCTTGATAACCCTCAGGGCACAGATTTACATACAAAATGGTCATTACAACCAGATGAACGCCAAGCACCCAATGACTCTGCTAAAAAGATATATTATCGAAGCTGGTGAAAACTATGTAGAAACTTGCTCAAGTCTTCAGAAATAACATGTTTTTTTGTTAAAATGTTAGTAGTGATACTAAGGATTCAGCAAACTAAATTTCATCAAAATTATTGGTGTCACCATTGTTGTGTTGGCAATTTCTGCGTGGATCTATTATGATAACCATAGACTTTTGCAATAAAATGTCACATGCCACTACACACCTGGATGTTTTCAGGCGTGCTGTGGTTAGCACGCCTGCCATATTTTTCCCACGAAAGCCTGGTATGTTTTCTTTAAACAAGCCCATCTAATACAGAAGTGAAGACCTCTATATATAAAATTTTGCCGTGTTTTTCCCTCCCAGATATGCTGTTTTGTTACCAGGTGCATTTGAAAAATAATGACAGTGCTTTTGTGTAATGTTTTAGATCCAATAACATCCTATTTGAAGGATGTCTTTGTAAGAAAATTTTATAGAAAATAGCTGGAAGTTTGCTATCTTATCTTTTGCAATAGTATTGAATGAGCTGCTGTAATTTCTAACTCAGCATATTGCTAATTTACTGGTTGAGTTATAATTCAATTACATTGTCTAGGCAGAAATTTAATAACTTATCAAAAAAGATATTTTGATGCTTGAAGGTAATACTTAATCTTTAAAAGGAACAGCCCCTTATCCCAACAATACCACTGAGATTTATCAAGTTAACCAAGTTTGTCATTGTTTTCAAAATACACACTGTCTTTAGTATAATTCTGTTTTGTTTTCCCATGAATTATCTAGCATCAACAAACTGTTACAAGTGTTGATTGGGCACCAAACAGCAACCGCATTGTTAGCTGTGGTGTGGTAAGTTTTAAAAAAGCTATTCTATTGATGAATTGTTGAGAGGCACTTTGTGTTGTCATTTAGCTTTTCACCATAGTAAGCCAGACCAACTATTTTGCACACAAATGGAAGTTTTAGCATTGATTCAACTATTTAATCACATTTGCGGTGCGAGTTAAAAGTCTAGAAAACAACATTCTGTAATTCTGACATTTTCCTTGTGATAAAAATAACTATGTTCGGTTGAAATTAGGATTTTTCAATAATTTCTGTTGCCTGGAGTGCTTTGTTTTTATGTGTTCATGTCATTATTTGTGCCATGAATTATCAAGACCCTATTCACAGTAACCAAACTGAGAGAACAAAATGCAAAAATTTGATCAACGATCTTATTATATTTGTCTATGCTACCAAGCAACAACACATACCTTTCGGTACCATACCCCATCTTCAATGAATTGCTTTTTGACATTTTTTTGTCATTTTTCAAGACAATTACATTACATAGTATAATTTATTTATATTTTTTTTGTAAATTTGCTCTTATTTGTTGATGAAATTTTTGTCTGTATTACTGCAGACAAAAATTGTGCTGCTATCAGTTAAAAAAGAAGTAACACCAGAGTCTATGCTACAATCTCTTCTCTTTTGTTAAACATGTTTAAAGATGATTTTATTCCTGGCAAATTGAAAGGATATATAAAAATTAAAATCTGTTTATCATTTCAATATTCCAGAGGAAGCAAATCATCCAGATATGTTTATCAAAGAGTATATACTCTTGCACTGCTTCTTTTTTAACCTCATAGATCTAGCACAGTGGGGGATTCAAGGAGGGCAACTAGGGGCAGTTGCCCCTCACTCACTGAGTTGAAGCAAGTCTGGTGCCCCTTTTTTGGAAATTTTGCGCCCCTTTCAAAGAATGAGAATCGGGTTAAAAAGTTTCTGAGACTTCTAGGTTAGTTTACTTCAAGGATTATGTCAAAGTATGCAACAAATATTGTGAAGATTTCCTTACAAAGTGAATAGAAAGCCTCCTGTCTGTAGTTGGTGTCTGAAATTGTTGTATACAGCGTACACTCGTCGCCAATTTCTGAAATTTTTCAGCACCCCCATTCCCAATTACCCATTGCCTCCTTCAAATTTGCTCTGGATCCGCCCCTGAGTCCCTGATCTAGCATTTATAGGAATGCTGTTTTAAGATGTGAACATTGAAATGTATGAATTATATAGTCATCTGTTCCTTGTAAAACACAGTCTAATTTGATGCTCAGGACCGAAATGCTTATGTATGGACTGAACAAGATGGTCAATGGAAGCCTACTCTTGTCATTGTGAGACTGAACAGAGCTGCCACTTTTGTCAAGTGGTCCCCAAAAGGTATGTATTCTTAATATTTTATTGCTTATTCTCCAAGGTAGAAACAGTTAGCTGTTACAGTCATATTGATATGATATAGACCACTGGTTTTCTGCTTTTTGTAAAGAAAATTATAGCTATGAGGACCTGAGCAAACTACAATTCTGGATGGCAATTCAAGTCAAAAGTATGGATGGAAAGCCATCACCAGCTGTGACAATCGGCCCGTTCAATAAAACAGCCAAGAATTTTGAAAGAAAACATTTGTAATTAGCCTAAGTAGACAAATGAATGTTGCTTCTAACATTAGGTTACATCTCTATAAAGGTCTATTAGATATTGCCAGAACATAAAATGTATTGCGCATGAATTAAAAGTGGAAGTAGATACAACGTTGGTTTTTTATGTTCGGGATGAGGAAAACTGAGAAGCTGGAAAGCATCTTTAAAAATGCGTATGGTTAAGAAGTTAGAATTTAAAGTCTGTACTGATAATACAATTTGATGCCCTGGAAAAGAAGGAACTTGCTTTAGTTCATACCAAGTAAATTATTCAAAACTGAGGATAATTGATATAACATTAGACACATGGAATAATTGTTGGAAGCCATAAACCTTAAAGAAGCATAGCTTTAAATGAAGTCTTCTCCAACAATTTGAATCAGATAATCTTGGCTGTCTTGTCTGATTTTATTTTTCTCCCGTAGCCAGACTATCTATTCACATATTTGCATCCGTGTTAGCATTATCATTCATGCAATTTGCCATCAGTAAATTTTATTTTCTTTTGCTTTGTAGAGGATAAGTTTGCTGTGGCAAGTGGGGCCAGGCTCATATCAGTTTGTTACTTTGAGAAGGAAAATGACTGGTAATCTATTAAAAAATCTATACCCCAGTTTTTATAATGCATGGCCACGTGAGCTGGAGAAGTTTGTATTGTATTATATTTCTTATGAATTACTATAAAGTGAAACTTCCTTACACAAAGAATGACTACTTAGTCTAAATTGATTTTCTCTTCTACCTTAATATTTTAATTGTGGTCCTGGCAAGAGACTAAAATTAGTTACTCGCCTTTTATCTTAGCTAGTAAAAGTAAATACTATAAATGGGAGACTATGTGTTTAAGAAATCTGTTCTTTTAAGGTGGGTTAGTAAACACATCAAGAAGCCAATTCGCTCGACCGTTCTCAGCTTGGACTGGCACCCTAATAATGTTCTTATTGCTGCTGGATCATCGGATTTCAAAGCAAGGGTGTTCTCTGCGTATATCAAAGAGATTGAAAGCAAACCAACGGAAACTGTTTGGGGAAAGAAAATGCCATTTGGAAGCTGTATGGTTGAATACTCCAATGGAGGAGGTATGCTCTTCAATATTGTAAAAATCTTTTCAATTTTCTCTCTGTTTGCACATCTTGTTTTGGACTATTTTGATGTATGAATGAATCTGCAAAGGGATCTGTATTCAGTGAAATGATTTCAGCATATTCTATGCCGAACAAGTTTATAATTCTTTAAGTAATGAATGGAAGTAGTTTGAAGCTATTACTGTTGCGCATAGGAAACCGCTAAGTTAAACGATTTCTTTCTAGGTGGTTGGGTACACAGCGTGGCCTTCTCACCATCAGGTAACAAACTGGCCTGGGTTGGACACGATTCAAGCATCTCTTTTGTCGATGGGGAAAAGAAAGAAGTTGAAACTCTTCGTGGGCAGTTTCTTCCTTTTCTGTCTTGTTTGTGGATAACTGAAAATACTGTGGCTGCTGCAGGTAGTCATTTTTTCATTTTCAAATAATTTGAGGAGAGTTGCCTTTCAGCAAGGGCTGATTGAAAGGCCCTCCACGTTAAAAGATTTTGTGGGGAAATTTTTAATGATTGCTAAGCGGGAGGTAATAGGATTAAGTACAGGATTTATTCTTTAATGCAATAATGGAAAGAATATCAATTGTCGTTGATTCCCGAAGGAAAACCTGAAGTTGTTCCAATTCTTTGTAACACGCGCTTTCAACACTATATAAAGCTGGACGTGGACAGTTTTGTGGTCAGTTTAACAATCGCTGATGCTTGTTAGTATTGATTCATGCGTTATACTATTTTTTCATTTTAGGCCATGACTTTTTGCCGATGTTGTTTGTTGTAAGTGGGGATGGAAAGCTTTCGTTCATGGCCAAGCTAGATGCTGCTATTCAAAAGGAGGCTGAAGCAATGAGTGCCATGGCGAAATTCCGTTCCATGGACAAGCAGGCTCTTGGTTCTGCTTCTGCCAAATCAGTCACAACTCATGCAAATGCAATCAAGTATGTTTCCTCTTCATTTTGCGCAATCTTATATTCTTGGGCATTCAACAAATGATGTCAAAAGAGATTTGCGTGAACATCAATCAGCAAATTTTGGTTTTTAGGAACCTATCAACAACAAAAACAACGTAAAAGGGCTAATTTTTAGCCTTAGTACCTGTATTATGCAAAAGCCAATCATCCTTTAAAACGTGATTATTGCACAAGATAAAATTTTAACATTGATAGGAGCCATTATATAGAGATCCTTGATATGTAGATCTTTTGGTTCTATTTGTTTTTATTTTCTAACTGTTCTCCTGTTCTGTACCAAAAAATATTTTTTCGTGGTGGGAAGGGTTGTTCGCTATTTATTTAATAACTCTATCTTACTCATTATTATTTCTTATAGGCGTTGATATACTCGATTGCAGAATGTCTTCACAATCTCAAGAACGTTTTGGCAATGCAATTCTTTTTGGGAAAAGTTTTTTTTAGCGACAGATTTTTAAGCATTAAAACTATTTTGTCTCTTACATCACTTCATGTGAAATGTTGTTTCATTTGTAGGCAACTCTGTTTTTACGGTGGACCAAGAGAAAACGTTGAACAGATCTCATCTTGCGGAATGGATGGAAGGGTTGTCGTATGGCACCTTAAGGTATAGCCTTTTCATAAGTATTGTATTCGCACCTAATGATCGAAAAGGGCTAGTTGCCGATTTGATAGAACAGCTTTCTGGCCATTATCACCAAAACGCTAAACTTATGCACAAGTTTGGCAAATCAGCGAAGAGATCTGTAAAACAAAGAAAATTTGAATTGCCGGGACCATCAATTGTTTGATAAACAAGAAATGTTTATTTAAAATCGAGTTTCTCTAAAAACAGTATCACAAAAAGCGTTCACCTTGTAAACCAAAAAGCGTTCACTTTGTAGACAAAACATGTTCACTTCGTAGACAGAACATGTTCACTTTGTAGACAGAACATGTTCATTTTGTAGACAAAAGATGTTCACTTGTAGACAAAAAGCGTTCACTTTGTAGACAAAACATGTTCGCTTTGCATATAAAAAGACTTCACTTTGTAGATAGAAAGAGTTCACCTTGTAGACAAAAAGCGTTCACTTTGTAAACCAAAAAGCGTTCACTTTGTAGACAAAACATGTTCACTTCGTAGACAGAACATGTTCACTTTGTAGACAAAAGATGTTCATTTGTAGACAAAAAGCGTTCACTTTGTAGACAAAACATGTTCACTTTGTAGACAGAACATGTTCACTTTGTAGACAAAACATGTTCACTTCATAGACAGAACATGTTCACTTTGTAGACAAAAGATGTTCATGTGTAGACAAAAAGCGTTCACTTTGTAGACAAAACATGTTCACTTCGTAGACAGAGCATATTCACTTTGTAGACAAAAGAATGTTCACTTGTAGACAAAAAGCGTTCATTTTGTAGACAAAACATGTTCACTTTGCAGATAAAAAGACTTCACTTTCTAGATAGAAAGAGTTCACCTTGTAGACAAAAAGCGTTCACTTTGTAAACCAAAAAGCGTTCACTTTGTAGACAAAACATGTTCACTTTGCAGATAAAACATGTTCACTTTGTAGATAGAGAGAGTTCACCTTGTAGACAAAAAGCGTTCATTTTGTAGACAAAAAAGAGCTGATTGGTCGAACAGTGATTTGTTCTGTGGTTGGTTAATTTGAACAAATGTCTGGATAACTACAGAGCGTTAGGTGAAATAAACCTCTCTATAGAAGGAAGTGACATCATTTATCCCAGCCATATTGCATTCTAGTGCGGCTTATTCTCAGTTATTTTTTAAGCATTTTCATATGTTATTTGCCTTTAAATTTTCTAATGATGTTTTACTCGTATAGCCGTCTAACAACCAGATATTAAACAGAGTAGTAATTTTTACAGACCCTTGAGAAGTCCATGGAGGATTTGAAGATAGTGTGAAGACAAAGAAGTTATTAATTACAGCTAGGATCTCCCGGATTTGAGCAAAAACAAAAGCAGAAAGTAACTATTTCATGTGTTGATCTAATGTAGCAATGTTTAATGATTTGCATTGCATCACAGAAAAGTGTAGATTTTTATGTCATCCTTTATTTTTCATCACATAACAGAAGACTCACTTTCAATTTCAAGTATTCTGCTGCCAGAACAAAATACGTTTCCAAAATAATTTCGTAGAAAAGGTTTTTTTAATTTTCACCATTGATTATTGGGTTAAACAGTCTAAATAAGATGTGTTCCCACTTGCATTCCGACGTTGCCATGTCTGATATCCTGCCCAAGATAATATCTTGAAGACTTCTATTTATTGTTCATTTTTTGGCTCATGTCTCTAATTGATGTACCATTCATTGGTTGATTGGGAATCGATAAGAAACTGCACGAGTTGCAAGTGACTTAGAAATGCATGTGCCATTTGCGCCAGCCTCATTAACAAACGAAGAACCTGCCCAGTATCATGATGTCTTCTAGGAACTGATTACATACTTCGTTGAACAGATTATGGTGACAAGTTTTTGATTTTTTAGTTTTTGTTTGAGCAATAAAACGGTTTGCATGCAAGTCGAAAATGTAACTTAATTTTTCCTTTGCTCTGTGCTTGGCGTGATGATATCGTAAGTCACTGAAAATATATAGGTCACTTCAATAATTAGCAGCTTAAATAATTTAATGCTGTAAGAAGACAGCTTTACTAATTAAAGACCTCAATTATTGCAGAGACAATGCATTCCATTATAGAATTATGGGATTTTCTCCATAGGTAATTGCTCTAGGGTGAAAATTCTTGTGCTTTCCTGGAGTCATTCTGCTGTATGTTACGCCCCTCTGCGTCATTCAGCATTTTTTCTTTATATCATTTTCTTTATTTTTGTCATTTCCGGCGAGCATCTTTTCTGTAAAAAACTTGAATGCAAATCATATGAGCTGCTTAGGAGGGGCGGGGTCGAATGATTTCAAAGATCGTAATAAATGCTGGAAGTTTCCAGCTTTAATATTCTGTGTGGTTGTCGAGAGCTTTCGGGGCAGTCAATACGTTCGACAACGATATGAAGTTGATGATGAAAATACAGTAGCTAGCTATTCAACATATACTGATGGAATACAGTGGGATTCCCTCTAGTCTGACTAAAGGCCCCTTACCAGGCCTGTGGAGCAGGGATGGCAAAAACCCCAGACCTGTTGCAGGCAGACGTTTCAGCAACTTTTCTTTTAAGGTTTTTTTAAGCGCCAGGCACTATCTTAAATCCTTCATGAATAATAAGAGACCCAAATAATCAATTTTCCTTCCGTCAGTATAAGCTTGACTCAAACTGTGCGATTAGAGACCTCATTGCTTATTTTGGCTAGGTTTTTATCGGAGTGACGTCATAATACATATTCTTGCAGAGAAGTACATGCCCATCGTTTACAATCGCTGCTTGTCGCACGGTTGCCAAGACCTTGACAAGAACAAGACATTGCTTGTGCGTATGAAGACAGCTTGCTCGTCTTCCTGTTGTAATTTGTTCAAAATGCATTTGATAATCTTGAGGTATTCACATGTATCTAGATAACATTTTTCGAATTAAAACACCATAAATCTTCAGTATGAATTTAAAGATAGAGAACCGATCTGAATGGAGACAGATGTTTCGTAACACCTGTGAATAATTCAATGTAAAGAGAATCGATGCATTGAGAAGCAGAGGGAGAAGAGAAGGAATAAAAAAAGACATGATAGTCATCTCATAAAGCCTACTATGCAATTTTCTTCTTCCTCCTTCTTTCAGTACTTACAATGTGCTGTATATGTATTAACTTGTGTTTTACCCGCTATCGGGATCATAGGTGCACGGGGCGGGGGGATGGGGGGGCTTCTGCCGCACTGGTTTCAGGCAGCTGGTTTTTTCGAACAAAACTCGGGCAGGAGGTTTCTCCAAAAACAAAATGTATCAGAAAAACTACATTTCGAACATTTTTATAAATCTCTGAGATGAGTAAAGTGGCCGTTATCGTGAGCGCTTTCAGAAGTAATGGAATAAGGTTGAAGAAACCTGGTGTGAAAACACAAAAAGCGACATAAACATCAACAGTGAAAATAGTGCTTCAGAGGACTGTTTTGGAAGTAAAAGAAAACAGCTATTATGCTGTCATAAATGACATAACGTCTGACAGCACAAACAAATGTCAGTTTTGCACTGATTGGTGTCGGAAAGGAATTTTTTTTGTTGAATTTTACAAACTTAATCTTGAGCGGTTGTACAAAGCGGTCAAAGACTAGCTTCTATAATGGATAAAGTCTTGGGAGAAATCTATGCGCAGTTTAGTGACATGACCGAAATATTTTATGTGCTTTGGGCAATGATGTGAAGGAGGCATCAGGGGCCCTTAGGAAAAATCTGTCACGGACTTCTACTTATACACTGGAAGAATATCCCATCTAAGAGTGTAAAGCACGTCGAACAAAATAGAAAAATGTAAAAATAATAGTGTGTGGGCTAACTGAACCGAGACCAACTCAACCCAGGCCCACTTAGCTCGGGCTGATTAAAACTCAGCCTACTCAACCCGGGCCCACTCAACCTACAATGCCTGCCAAAAGTCTTGGAACACTGACGTCGATTTCCAAGGTCAATGCCTGCCAAAAGTCCTGAAACGCCCCTGGAGAGAAGGGGCGGAAGTAGTAATTTTTTTCATGAAAGGAATGAAAGATATCAAAGTACTTTCGGCAGGCATTGTAGGCCCACTGAGCCTAGACCCAATCAGCCTGGGTTCAATCAACCCGGGCTCAATCAACCTGGGCCTACTCAGCTCAGGCTGACTCAACCCGGGCCCACTCAACCCGGGCCCACTCATCCCAAGCCCACTCATCCCGAGACCCACTCAACCTCAACCTAGGTCCACTCAGCCCGGGCTGACTCAACCTAGATCCAATCAATCTGGGCTCAATCAGCCTGAGCTCAATCAACCCAGTGTAAAACCGCATAAAAGGGGGTTTTACCAATGTGAGTTCGTTATAGGCAGAAATGCTCAAAAATACGGCAATGGCGGATAAAATCAAAATATACAACACTTTTGCTTTTGGTAATGAAAATGATGATGATGATACTCTGCACAGATGTGATGGGGCTAACAGTAGATCGGTGATTGACGTAATTTCTTTGAATATCGTTGTCAGGGGCGTTTTGAAAATTTTTGCCTCGTCGATCTCTATTATTTGGCCCAATTGCTCTTTCATCAAGTTAGCAAGCCCCTCTGTTATATCTTCTAACTGGCGGAACAGCTTGCACAGTTTAACGATGGGTTCTGTGGTGGTTTGTGTTGTCGTTTTCGTCTGAATTTGTGCTTCAAAAACTGGGTTCATTGTGTCCACGGCCACAGGAGATTTTTCTTGCAATGGTTGCTTCAACGGGCGTCTTCTGCAATATTTGACCACGTGTCCCACTGTTTTAAAATAATTACAAATCGGCTGGTCGTCTGTGGTTCGCAGGTATCGATACATGTTCATCCTCTATTCCTTCGGCACGGCTGTCCTCACACGGGGCACCAATGTCAAATCGCTTAAAAGGGGGTTTTACCAATGTGAATTCGTTGTAGGCAGAAATGCTCAAAAATACGGCAACGGCGGATAAAATCAAAATTCTTTTTTTTACGGCAATGATTCAACTAACGACTAAAAACAACAAGTTCGACAAATAACAGCACGGCTCCAACAGGCACGACAACTAGCAACAGAGCTTCTAGTAGTGCGACAAAAGTTTCGAAAAAACTAAACCTAACTATAAAACCACCCCTTATATACCCTAAAGAACAATATAGTTTACAAAAGCTGATGCAATCGCAGCGCAATGATGCAAATGTCATGTGATGTCCTGCAATGAATGGGAACCCTGTGTTGAAAAACCTAGACCAACTCAACCTATGCCCATTCAACCTAGGCCCATCTATCCCAGAGCCCACTTAACCCAGGCTTTTATAGTATAGAGAACAGCCTGCCTCATACTATAAAAGACTCATTGTCTGTTGATAAATTCAAAATATTGATAAAAGAATGGAATGGTGATAACTATAAATGTAAAAACTGTCGGTAGAACAACATCAGTGGAAACCCCTTTTGAAGTTTTATTTATGTAAAATATTTAATTTTTGGTATTAGAATTATTCTGTAAAATTTTCTTTTATAGATAGTTGGTTTAAATTGGCTGTTGTATTTAGCTATTGTAAATACCAACTTTGAATAATGCAAAAATGATAATAATAATAATAATAATAATAAAAGCTGATTCAACCCAGGCCTTTACACCCCGGGCCCACTCAACCTGGACTGACGCAATTGGGGTCCACTCAACTTAGGCCTACTTAGCTCGGGCTGACTCAACCTAGGCCCACTTAACATGGGTTAATCAGCCTAGGTTCAATCAATATACTAAAATGCGTGCGGTACAACATGATGAATTTAAATAACGATCAATGTAGGTAAATTGTACCAGGAAAATTTTTTTAAAATAATTAACGACGTATCGAGTATAGCCCGTTATCAAGTGATAACGGATAATTAATAAATAATTTACTTGAAAATGGGCTATGCTCGACACGTCGTTAATTATTTTAAAAAATTTTTCCTGGTACAATTTACCTACATTGATCGTTATTTAGGTTCAATCAACCCGGGCTCAATCAACCTGAGACCACTCAGCCCCGGCTGACTCAAACGGGGCCCACGCATCCTGGGCTGACTCAACCTGGCTTGACTCAACCCTGACTCAGCCGGGGCTGGCTCAACCCGGGCCCACTTAGCTCGGGCCCATTCAAACCGCGTCCACTCAACAGAGGCCCACTCAAACGAGGCCCACTCAACCTAGGCCTACTCAACCTAGGCCTACTCAACCTAGGCCTACTCAACCTAGGCCTACTCAACCTAGGCCTACTCAACCTAGGCCCATTCATTGGTTTATGAATTGCATCAAAACTTTAGGAGAGTGTGCCAAAATTAAGGAAATTCACCATTCTCAAGCTCTGTCCCCGTCGACGTTCACCAGCTATGCCTCGTACGGTACAGGATAAAATCGTAACAAGGGTGCTCAATGGCAGAAAATTTCAGTAACTAAGGAGCACCGCAATGCGACGAGAATAAACAACAACAAACACACAAATAAATGATGGCTAATTTAAAAAGCTGATCTAAAAAAAGACTGGATCGAGCTTATCCAGCCCAGCGTTGATTCCACATTGCAGCGTCCATCTTGAGACCGCGCAGCGTTGTATGAGACTAGAGAGCAATCATGTTGGTTTCAGTTCAACTTGTTTTTTCATAGCAAAATTGAAAGTAACCGTTGAAACAAAAACTTGCATTATTCGTAAGTGACGTTTTTGTCGTGGTATTAAGCTCATTTAAGAGAGAATCCACTGTTCACGTATTTTCCTAGGCCTGTTGTAACTTAGAATATTTAAGAATTCAATGATTAATGCACAATTTTTAAGGCGCAGCACTGTGTGTGCGTCGTTTTAGCAAGTGGCAGCCCAAAGCTTTTGGCGCGAGAGGTCTCAAAACGGAGAGACTCGATCAGCTTCCTTATGTTGATGTAGGAGAACAATAAGTTGTTCGATCTAGCCTTTTTTGAGATCAGTGATACACAACCACTTTACGTCACAAGGACCACGTGACCAGAGATCGGACCGCGTTTTTGTTGTGACACATCTTAGCTCGAGTGGGTGTTGGAAAACCCCGTTTATTGAGGAAAGTAATTCGCAAATGAAAAAACTGAGTCCACCATCGTTTCCAGCGACGTTTCTTTGATAATTTAAGCGAATAAAAATGTTCGTGTATGCACTTTAAGCTCACCTTTATGCGTCTTTTAAGCCCAATTTGTACAACTGCTGAAGACTGAGTTTTGCAAAATTTAACAAAAACTTTCTTTCTGACACCATTCAGTGCAAAACTCACACAATCTGGCGTTAGTTCGAGCTGACGAAAGTTAGATGTTTGATAATAGCCGCTTTTTTGCTTCTTTAAAAACCTTTTCAAGCACTAATTATGCTAGTGCTGTTCTTGTCGCTTTTTGTGTTTAATCCAATTCGCTTTTTGTACTTCTGGTGTATTCAAGATAAGAATAGTTCCGCACCATATCTTTATGTTTTGATGAAGGGTCCACAAATTGTTTAGGACAGACTTCCCTGACGTACTTTTACGGCAATAATATCATGCTTATCAGTAGATTTACATTCTCTCTTGCCTATAATGCTCTCACCCTGTCCACTACCCTGAGTACCAGACTCACTTTATATAAAAACAATATGCGCATATTTATATATGTATATAGTGAGTCTGGTACCCAGGGTACCTGTCCACGAGCCATCAGAATAACCAACTTTTTACAATAATAGCTTAAACTGAGACCTACGAATTGTAGAGTATTTGGAGAGGGTGTGACACCCCAGAAACTTAATTCGACTGTCTGTCACTTTTTGTGGTTTTTGGCTACACTGCAAAATCCCCCATACCGTAATGCTTCGAACAAGCGCCCCCTCAAATAAGAGCCCCCCTCGAATAAGCGCCTCCCTCAAATAAGCGCCCATCCTGGAGCCTCAAAAATTAAATAAGCGCCTGGGCGCTTATTCGAGGCATTACGGTAATTGGCTCGGCAGCCACTCATAAATTCAGAAAGCGCTTCGTAAGGGCACATGTAGCCGAAACAGGGGAACCCCTGTAAGCATAGAGTAGTGATTTTGCAATTGTTTTGGCATTATGTTTGCAAAAAGAGAAGAGGGCACAAAAATATGAAAGTTTGGCGCAGTCCTTACATCTTAAAGACTGTAAGATTCAATTCAGGAGCACAAACTAAAGGGTCAGGCTGTCACATACCCAAATATTTCCAACCAGTCCGTCCCAAGCTAAACTAAAATTACTCGATTTAACTCTTTGGCCACTGCAGCTGGTCCCAGAACTGTAGAATAAAGACCATTTTCATAGTTGTAGCTTAGCATGCCTGAAATTGACCATTACCTTATTTGGTGATCAAGGGGGGGTTTCAAGGGGATCAAGAATTAAGGTGAGCTACTTTGAATTTTAGCTTTTTGTGGTATGTAGAATAAGTAAAAGATTGAGTGAAAGGCTCAGGAAATATCAAAACCCCATGGTTAAGATTTACAAAAAGCTAAAGTAAGGTCTGGGTCAATGGCGGCGCCAGACAATAGGCTCTGAGGAGGAGGTAAAACAAAAAAATTTAGGCCACACCCCTCTTACTACCAGGAAACGCCCTTTTAACAAAATGGAATGCCAATTTCACCTAAAGGGAACGCCCATTACTAACTTTTAGTTACGTAAAGGCAGTTTGAAAATAAAAGGATTCCATAACAACAAGTACGTTGCCAAAATATTACCCTTCCCCTAACATTCTCTCGTCGAATTTAAAAGAAATATAAAATTGACCCTGCTGAGAACTGGGGGACATGTCCCTCAGTCCTCCCGTTGCACCGCTTTTGGTCTGCGTGCAGAGAAAGAAATTCAGTCTATTTGGAGTTTAGGGCTCAGGCTAACAATTGCAAACGAAGAATCAATAATCTCTTCAAAGACTTTAAGTATTTTTTAATAGAATAACTTAACTGACTGTTTCCGTCGAAGTGTCGTATTTTTCCATATGGGTGAAGTAAATAACCAACGAAGTAAACAACATACGAAAGAAATCACTCCCAAGATGCACCGCGCAAAAGCGTCAAATGACGTCATGAGGTAATTTGGCTATTGCGAACCAGCCTTTCCGACCCGTCACGCTGCAAACGGGTAACACATTTTTTCAATGCTGAGCAAATGAAAAACAAATTACAAATAAAAAACAAATTACAAATAAAAAACAAATTACAAATAAAAAACAAATTACAAATAAAAAACAAATTACAAATAAAAAACAAATTACAAATAAAAAACAAATTACAAATGAAAAACAAATTACAAATAAAAAACAAATTACAAATGAAAAACAACAGAAAAACAACTTTTCAAATCAATAGACCATCATAATGCGACACACATCTGCATGTTGAAAAATATATTGCCATATTCACAGAACATTGCAACTTTATACGACCATTTGCTCGAAATGGAAATATCGATGGATACAATAACTGGAAATTTGTTTAAAATTGTGTATGAATTTACAATGTTTGCAAAAGAATTACAGAAAATGTCAAATCGAAATAATTACAACACTTTTTGTTATTCTCTCTAAACGATATATGAAGGTACTATTGTCCAAAATGTTTCAATGATTAGAGAAAAATCAAAATAGGGATGACAGCCAAGTTACACGGTGACGTAGAACCGCGAGGACGAAAATTGCATGTCTGCATACCATGCTCACGTGGAATTGACAAGTTCACGTGAAAGATGCCCATTTTTCGTGTTTTGAATTTGACATTTTCAATAACTTGACTTCTACTGCTTGTTTCTCCGTTAGCTTAGGGGGCATCAATATTGTCCGAAACTCAACTTTGTCCCCCTCTTTGAGCTCGTATTCACTCTCCACGCTGAAATCAACAAAAAATTGAAGTTAGCAATCAATTCAGAAGAAAAAGTATATTTAAAGAACATGAATTGAGCGCTAAATGCTCATTGCCACCAAGCCAGGGAAGCCTATACCCAAAGAGGGCAAAAAGGCAAAGTGCCTAAAAATGGCAAAACAGTAGCAAAATGAAGATAATTGCTTAATTTTGCGAGGAAAAGGGTGATCATTGCCCCCACGCTGCCCCCTGTTGCTCTCATGGTGCAGGATCCTTGCACTAAACTCCAGTGGAATGAAACATGTAGCCAAAGTTAAAGATGTTGTCTAAACCAAAACAGGACTCCCACTTCACCCTCTACGGCCATATATCATACTGTGAGATGCCATCAAGACATCAGGCTAGTTAATACCGTAATTTCTCTAAAACGCGCACCCTCCAAAAATCGCCAATGTTGTTCGAAACTGACAACAATTCTTTTCTTGCCAACAACGAGAATGTCGTGGACGGAAATGATGATGGTGATAAAAAAATGGGCATTGTTATTGAAGTTGACTGAACAAGACATTTACGTTTTAATCAATCAATGAAAGTTGTTTTTAATCTAATTTTTGATGAAAAACTAACTAAGTGGAATGACAAAAATTTAGAAAGCGCCCACACTCGAAAAAATGCCCCCCTCCTCGAAAAAATGCCCCCCTCCTCGAAAAAATGCCCCCCCTTAAACAAGCGCCCAACTAAAGCAAACAAAAATTTAAAAATGATGATTAAATGAAATTTAATCAGAGTTAATTTCACGAGGGGCTTTTGAGCGTCAACTAAATCGCTTGAGATTGTTGTTATTACTATTTCGTTATGTTTTCTTGTTCCACGCTTCCTCGCGTTTTTTCTTGTATCTGCTCTACTAGTTTATGGGCAATGCAGGGAGTCTTTCGGCCTCCTGTGAATTTGATTTGTATAACCAGGGTAAGATTTGTGTTTCGTGGCGTGTTCATTCCCTTGGTTAATCTAGGGGTATTTAAGGTTTTGGCATAGTGTGGGTCTCACCTAGCTTGGTGAAGCCACAATACAACTAGGCTGTTTTATTGTATTTTCCCAGCCCTCCCTCCCTCATTTTGTTTCTTTATGCTAAATGCCTTTTCAGTATAACTTTGCGTGTTGAGTTTCTTTTATGGCATCGTTAAAACCTCTCATACCTTTAGGCATCCTTTATGCTTCTTAGAGTTTTCTGATGCTATTAGGTAGGACTGGTGCATCGGCTATTGGTGGGGAAAAGAAGCTTTTCCTGTCCATTCCCTCCCAATTATCAATCATGTTTGGGGGTTATTGTGTAACTTTCCTTAGTAACCCCTATATGGTAGGTTGAGCGATTGGCGCCGATGCACCAACGGCCCAACTGGCTCTCGATGATGTGGGAACGTAGCCTCATGACTGACCTTTCTGATGTCTATGGCAGTTTTTCTGAAGGAGCTTCATGCCCTTTATATTGCATTGGTATTTCATTCCCGAGTAAGTAAATTAAAGCGCCCAGGGCACTTTTAGAGGAAATACGGTAATCAATGGCTCTACAACTCTTCTTATGCTTTTTTGCATGGATCTCCTAATTGCATTGATGTTTCTGTTTCTCGTGCAAAGTTTAGGGGAATAAATATCAAGGTAAGTGTGTACCAGATGTGAAATATTGAAGTTGAAAATAAATGTTCAGAATTGAGTCAACAGTCAAAAATTAACTATTAGAAACTAAACTTTTCTCTCAGGTTATTGACTGCTAAAAACGATTATAAGATTACGATCCATGAATGTTATTTAAAAAAGGTATCAGACACAACTATTCTTACACTAGTTATTTAAACATCTCAGTAGGCACTATTGACAAATGTACGAGTGAGAAAAGTTTGGCTTCCTGTCATGAGAATTTAAAATACGTTTGTGCGAAAGAGGTTTTTGAGGATGAAAATTTTCGGCAGATTAGTACTGACTCGGTTTTAAAAAACATCAAGCCAAAATTTGTCTTTAGAGCAACTTTGGATCTCTCAAAATTGTACAACTTTGGAACTGTCAAAATTGGATCTCGATACTTTTTCACTGTGACTTCTCTAAAACTAGGGGGCTTCAGAACTGAAGGCCCCCAAGACCTGCATCCTTACTAGAAAGTTTCAACCTTAGTGGCTTCGAGGCTAGCAGGTCGGTGGCCAACTGGATAAAGCATTTTTTATTGCTTTCAGTCTATTAACTTTGTAGTTTACATAAGTTGCGATGGTCATCCCTTTCAAAAATTTTAACGAGTAATTTGAGTTTTACGATATGTGAAACATTACATAAAGATAGCATTGAAACAAGCCTTACTCTGATATGTGAACAAAATAATGCTTTTCATCACTTTCCTCGTCTGGTTTAACAAATCCATGGCCGTGCGAACGACTAAACTCGGTTACAGTGCCAGTCTGAACTGGACTATCAGCAGCCATTCGAGACCTAAAAGAGAAAACAATCCACATTTACATGCAATAAAATCGTAGAAATTCATAGGCGCAAGTCTATTCTCAGCTCACCACCAAAATCTTGAGAACATTTTCTTATTGACAATCGCATCAAAACAACATTGAGCAACTCTAATCACAGCAAAAGTGGGACAAAGCAACAGTGGGACAAAGCAACAGTGGGACAAAGCAATAGTGGGACAAAGCAAAAGTGGGACAAAGAAAAAATGATTGGAAATAATAGCTACGACAATACAAATTTTTGGTATTCAGTAGAGACAAGTTCATATAACAGTATCGAAATTTTCGTTCCAAACTTTAATTTGGTGTTAGTTCTTACCCTTATTCGTTCTTGCCCGTATTCATATAGAAGGTAGGAAATGGGTTACAAATTGGCAATCACGTTTGAATAACAATGCATAAATAAGCGGATCATAGTAAATAGAATGTACTATCAGCCAGGAAGATACAGATACCAGGACAAATCTTTTTGATACTCTTTTTGCGAAATTTCCAATGAGACCTGTAGAGAGAATTCCAAAAAGATGTAGTACTTAAATCCTTATAAATTTTATTTGGGATTGCAGCAACTGAGAAAAGTGAACTGGTACTGCAAATTTGCTGAATGGTGTGGTAGCATTTTCTAATAAATGTCCACTCTTATCTGAAGTTAAAGGCGGAACCTGAGTATGACAGGTATTGACAAGATCATGACAGGTATTGACAAGATCATGACAGATATTGACAAGATCATGGCAGGTATTGACAAGATCTTGTATTTCAACATAGTCATTTCACATTTGCTGTTATCATTAACAGCTCGTGCCATCTGCAAACTTCTTGGTATCAATCATGTATAAAATCAATTCAGCAGGTGCTTCTGAAAAGTGCAAATAACCTTCACTCAAGTGTCATTTTTCACTCGTGTAACAACGCGGGCATGTGCGATCACAAGTACACAGCTCTCTCCAGTAATGCTTTGCAGCCTTGATTATTGGCAAATGGATTGGACAAGAGCACAGTCGAAATATTTTCTTTGATTGTCTAGAAACATTAATAGCCAAAATAAGTTCACAAATTTATGGAGGAAAATTTTTCGGAGAATTGACGTTAATAAAAATAATTTCGGGCCAGAGGTAAACACGTCACTGCTTATTGGGTGTGAAAGCGCATGAAAGTCTGGGAAAAAATAAGTGACCATGGTCATTGCATGCTCAGAAAACAGAGGTCATGCATATTTAGGTAGCTTTATAAATTCTATTTATTAGATGATTTAAAGATGATTTAAAGATGCTCTTATAAACAACACTTCAGAAGATACTTCGAAACTGCTTAAAGTTAAGAAACTTCACTACTGGAAAAGTATTTTTCAAGCAGATAATGTGTACGATGGCCCAGTAGGCTCACTTCAGTTTTCTTTTTTTACACATTTAAGTTGTACCTTTTGACACTTCAGTTATGTTCTTTTGCAGTTCAGTTGTGCTCTTTGTTACAGTTCAGTTTTGTATGTTTTTGTTCTTCAGTTTTCTTTTTTGGCAGTTCAGTTTTATTTCAGTAGACAGTTCAGTTGTAGTTTTAGAACACAGTTAAATGATAATTTTTGGCAGATGACCAACGAGGTTTATTCTAAATGAGGTTCCAAACATTTGCAACCCAAAAAAATTCGTACCAGTGGTTTCTGGTATTTCAAAAAGCTTTTGAGAAACATTATGATCAGATTTTATATGGAAACGAAGCAGTGTGAATCGGGTCTCATTTCAGGCTTCAGCACTTCAAGCACCTTTTCCACTGAATCCCTTGTTCATGGTACTGTCATAGAGAAAAAATTTTCTAAAATCCAAAGATGAAGTATGAATGTGACCATTAAAATGGCAGATTAGTGTCCTTTTATCAATCTTATATCAAAAGTTGACATGAAATTTAAATTGGTTAATCTCAGGAGAGTAAGCCCATGCTGACATTGTAGTATCTTAATGAATATTGATGTCATGATTAGGGGTTTTGCTTAATATATGCATTGTATGGGACTATTATTCAAAACTAGTAGTTAACCACATAAAAACTTCCTTTTTGTCAGATTTCAATCATTGAAAATTATTAGGGGGGAGGACCTATTTGCAGATGTTCCTTCACATTGTCAGGGGTTGTACACAGCAAATATAAAACCGAAGTAGAATGTTCACCTAAATGAAACTCAAAAAGAAACCTTTTTACCCAGTTCACGAGCTCAGTAAAAAAATGTGACAAACAATCCAAGTAGAAGTCTTTATTCAAGCTTGAGGAGTGGAAATCTTTTCCAGCAAAGGATTATAAGGAAAACACTTTGGCACTTCCCATTCCCATACATGTGTTTTTGCAAGAAAGATTAATTCTAAGCTGTGCCACAGACTTTGGTCATAATCCTCTTGAGATATCTAAGATCATTTTGTCTATTCTTCATTGATATGTGAAGGGAGCAGTTGTCAATGAAGGTATGGAATCATTGATAAATACATGCATACATCTAGTTCAGTCTACATGTTAAAGGGATTGACTCAATGTGCAATACCTGACAGATTTACACGCACAAGGCCATGGATAACCCTCTGGGGGAAGAAAACTAAAAGATTCAAACTGTAACAAAGCATATGAAGCCAAAAAAATGATTTACACAAAAGTTTGCAGCATGCGTTTCTTTTACCAGGTTGAATCAGAAGATAGTTTGCTATTTTTAGGTTACAACGTCAATATTTGTTAGGTCGTCTTAATGCACTTGAAGTTGGATACAGGGACATATTTCAAAGTGGGGCCAAAATTTAATGATTATGTTTGCATTAAAAAAGGCCGCCACCATGGTTGGCAGCAAGAAAAACTTTAGATTATCTAGAATATAATTTGATGGGAGAAATGCTAACGGTTCCATAATTTTATCTATTTTAATGCTGACATGAAAAGAAGGGGTCTTCCAAAGTTTTAGAATTATCTTAGCATAACAGCGAATAATCAACTTTTTTACAAATGAATGAACCCAAAATAAGATGGAGAGAGAAAATAAATAAAACATAGTTTGGCAATAAAGCATTAGCCAGTGCCCTAGTCCACACACGCTGCCTCATACACATACGCTAATAAGCATGAACTTCGTGAACTAAAGACTAAGTCTGGCCTTAGGCCTGGGATCTCAGAAAGTAGATGAAGGGGTAAGGTCATGTTGAGTTTATTAACGACCTATTGAATTCAATTAAAGCAGTCAAACTATTTTGCTATAAAATGTTTAAATGACTAAATAAAGCATTTCCTATTTTTGGACCTCCCTTTCAGACCAATTACTGGTCAATGGGACGCACATTATCATTTTTTGAGATAAAGCACTCGACAGGCCAAATAAAAACTTGCTGCAGGCCGGAGTTGGCCTGAGGGCTAGAGTTAAAGAATGGCTGATCTACACAATGGACATGGGCCTCTCTATTCATTAGCTCTAGAACTGACTTTATTGTCCTTCTTTGTAAGCTTTCTATTAACTCAAATAACAAGATATAGCAACTCTCTCAAATCCCAAAATGAGGATAAAGTGTTGCTTTAGCTGTTTCTAAAGATTTACAAAGATTTCTATTGATCACAAAAAATATGGCAAAAAATATGTTAAAGGCCTTGAAAATAATAGAACGGACAAGAAAGGAGCAGAGAGTAGTGACAGTGAAATTCTGATACAGACTGATAAGATTTCAGCCTAATTCACAAAACATTGCAACTTTATGCCTCTTTATCCTGCCCATGTGCAAAATTTGGGTGCAAATTTTTATAAATGCCAAATTACCTGAATGGACAATCACTGTGACTCTGCAACCCAAGCAATATGTTTTCTTGTAAGGGTATTCAAGTAAAATTATGATAAAAGTACAAATTGTGAATTAGATTTTTTAGCATGGAGTGCTCCAGCTTTGGGAAATTTAAATACCCTTGTTTCTTAAAAGTTTCTTGATTATGATATGTCATTATTTTCAACAAAAAATTGTTGGGGAGGGTTTTCACATAGATCTGTCTGCTTCATCAGAACGTTGCATGTTTGGCTTATGTCTAGAGTGCAAGATAAGGCTGATGCTTTGTTTAAAAATTTTACAAATGAGGTCTTGAACAATCAGATTTACTGGAATACGTGGGAATGGGTAGAGGTAGATTATACTGAAGTTCAATCCAGAAGAAAGTCAAAGAAAAATTAATAGGTGAAGCCATAGAGGGACTTACTGAGAAAATCCCTTATTTCTTGGTTCACACTTTCTTAAAGCGAGCACAAAGCAACCACCTCCAGTTCAAGATTTTTCGTATTCCATCCTAAAGTGCACTTTTTCAAGTCAATTTTAGTGAAAAATACCCCCTTCAAGGCCAAGGAAAAGTGCAATAGAACAACTCAAATTTTTTTAAGTCTGCATTTGTGTGCACCAGAAACAGAAATCGTTTGCGTTTGTCAGCAATGACCTTGATCATGACAAAACATCAGTTACCATCTTCATTAACAAGCTGCTATGAATACTGTCTATATAACATTGGTTCAGAAACATTGATATTTTCAATGATAGGCCATCATCCCAACTTAAAATCAACATGCTTTTAACTATCTTCCACAATTGTGTGAAAGAAATAGCATAGGCAGATTGGCATGGCACTTTTTGCATCATCCAATGGGAAGGGTGCTGTTGATGGAATGGAGGGGGACTGTGAAATGTGATGTTTTGATGGCAACTTTAGCCATGAAAGTTATTGTCCAATCACTTCATGACTTCTGTGCTGTAACAGGGAGCTCAGTCATGAAGTGGGGATTTTAAAGGTTGCCTCTGCTAAAATCACCCCAGAAGCAGACAAGTTAAGCCTTGCAAAATTTTTTGCTGAATCAAATGCCATCAAAGAAATAAAAAAAACAACATTCTGTAGCAGTAACACATGATGGAAAGATTTTGTGTTAACCACCTGGAATGTTCTAGAACTTCAGTTGAGATGGAGATGGCAGCTGATTAGTATGAAAGGGGTGCCAGGTACTTTGGCGTTACTGTGTAATCAGCGTATTTTCGATTAATGAATTTGTGAAACAAATTTTTATTATCCATGAATGTATGAATAGACATTCGTGAGTGACCTGTGAACTAGCATTACTCATGGCATGATTGTGTGAAAATGATTGTTTCAAGGGAATTTTGAAATACTTATTCTTTTACCATCAGAAAGTCTTGGTTTCCGGTACCAGACCAGATAAATAAAACCAGACTAAATTGTTTTAAAAAGCAAATTGCCCTCCTTGAAATACACTTTTCTTTGTTTCTATTCTTATTTACCTTCAAAAAGCTCACATTGAAAATACTAGGAGAGCTCTTTATTGCTCCCTTACTGAAAGCCTTATGGCTGGGCCTGTGTTCCCGTTCCTGTTAATAACAGAGGCACCTTTAAAGCAAATGAACTTCTAAAAATTTGGGGACATTAAGTTTTATCATAAAGTTATGAACAAAGTTTTATCTTTAGTAGAGAGGTGTTGCCCTCTTTGTGCACTTTTTTATATTCAGAGCTGTTAAAAGACTGTATAAAAAGAATATATACCAATTATATATACAAGCTTTCCAAATGTATGCTTTAAATTCTGTTAGGAACCAAGTTCAATATTTAAAACCATTTCCTAGTAATAGTATTAGCAAGTTGAACAACTGATTGCTTTCATTGACGAGATTCAGAGTGTAATTTGACAATTCTGTAAAGAGACTTCCTTTTGTTCTTATGTTACACTTGACTGTGGGAATCATAATTTTATTCTTTGTGTCTAAAGTTTTATGCCAGCTGACAAATCATATTGATAGAAAATTTTATGAACTTTTAGATTTCACGGTTTCTTAACTTTTTGCTTCAAGTACTGAAGTTTTTTAAATTTTTCTGTTTGTCTAATGCTTGTTTCTTAAAGAGAGTTCTTAAATCTATGCTGTCATTTAGATAGATCTGTTCTAGTGGTAGAGTAATTGTAATGATTGTACTGTTCACAAAAAGCAGGAACTTGCATATCCACCATAACTTCCCTCGAGAAGAAATTTCTGGTTGGAAGCACCATGAGCAACAGTTTTCCATTTCAAATTGCTCAATAAAATCTTGAAAAACTGGCAAGCTTGCCGTGATCAGATTTAAAGCTACTAGATGAAGCAATGCCTGATTATGTGCAGCACTATTTATGTTTGCCATTTGATTGTGCAAACTGTATCATATTTGAGAAAAGCTGCTTCCAAAAATAATCCTTCTGTAAGCTGCGATCCATTCTGTACAAAAATAATGCATTTCAAAGTGCACATCTAAGCATCGTTTGACTTTGTGGATATATGCATGCAGTGTAATAGGGTAAATAACTTGATAGCTCATCAGAGTTCTTCTTATTTGCCCTAAGCTTCATATTTGTAAGTAATTCAATAATCATGTAACCTGTAATAAAAAGCTTGAATTTATTTAAATGAATTGAATTGACAAGGGGAAGGTACGACCTTGTCAAACAAAAGTTAAACTCCTGGTCATTTATTGAAAATGCCTTCAAGCTTCCCCTGTTTGGAGAATGAACAGAGAAAATCTCAAAATATTCTACCCAACTATGTGACAAAATTCTTAACTAAAATATTAAATCAAATCCGTTTTTCTTGCTGGGGAGCAGCAGCCTGATCTTATTTGGTCTTCGGTTTGGCCTAATAATGAATGAAAGATCACACGCAGATTAAATTCATACTTACTGTGATGATGTACGAGTTCTTCTACATGGAATTGGGCTTGGAATCAGAAATGGTGGTCGGCGAGGTGATTTAGGAATATGGAATCCTTCCTTATCACTCTTCGACTCCTCGTGTTTGGCAAATGGTGACGACGCCATGATGATCCCCTGTTCAGTGTAGAGGAATAATTCTTTTGCGCCACCGCAATACTAGGCCAACACCTTCAGGCCTCTCTCCCAGTGCTCTCTCCTCCTTTCCTCTTCATTCTTAGTATGACGTCATTAAAAATCTATTTTAAGAATTTCTCAATTTCGACCACATAATCTGCATAATCTGAAAGAACGAGATAAAATACCTCTCATTGTACAAAATCAGCTAGATATGTTCAAAAGTGGGCGAGATATGACCAATGAAAGATTTCAAGTTTGCTAACGGATTACTGTTATTCTGGCCTGGTTCATAAAGTTATGAACCAAGACCAAATTACAGAGATTTGATGAGGCAAGAGCCTGTGCTTAAGTGGTCATATCCTAGCCAATTTGTATCACCTTGAACTGGTTTTGCATATTTTGAGGTATTACATGATGCCCTTTCAGTTCATGGGATCAAAATTCAAAAATTCTTAAGTCTGGTTTCCATGTCCCAGCGGTCATGTTGGCCCGCGTATGTCAATGACCCCTTGGCAGAGTAATGCGCCCCATCAGAAGCAAGCTTTGGCCGCTGAAAGGAACGAGTTATCCCGGCATTATTGGTTCTTAACATAATCTATTATCATATCCAGTCTCACTGTTTCGACAAATACATCGTAATAGGAACCAGGGCCGTCGCTGTCGAGGGAGGGTTGAGGGCTGTGACAGCCCTTGAAAAAGTATTCTGTTGCAAGATTGTGGAGTTCAATGCTATCTAGGGATGCATGGTTGAAAAATGTTGAAGCTTGTTGGCAAATATGGCTCATTCACTTTGCCAACATTTGGGACCTTGGACACAGTAGCCAATGACGTCTCAGATAGAAACTATTCATTTCATCCGAGATAGCGGGAGCTAGGAAGCTTGAGCCTTCTCCACCGTTCATTTCAAATTTTCAAATACCTGGTAATTTCCAAAAGGAATTGCTGAAGAAGTCATAACATCAAGGACGATTGTCTTTCCAACACCAGAGAGATTGTCTCTCCGACGATTGTCGATTGCCTACCAACACAACATCTAGATGTCATGTCTCTCCAACACCAGAGAGATAAATTAAGGCACATCGCAAAAAATCTGGAGCGGACTGGGAAGCTTATAGAAAAGTGAGGAATGAACTCAAAACTAGAATAAAGGAAGACAAGCGTAAACTCTTCAAGTCTGCTCTCTCATCAAGACGGCAACAAGATGTATGGTATCCATTCACAGAGTATTAAACTCTAGCCCTCAACCAACAAGGGCGAATAATAGTGATCTCAATCAGCACTTCAACAGCAAAGCTGAAAGAATCCTGGAATGTTCACCATCAAATAAAGATGACTTATTTAAAACTGTAGAAGGGCTACAATGCCAGGATAACAGTTTTACTTTGGCACCTGTTACTCACAATAAAGTTTTAAATACAACAAAGCTCCTAAGAAGCGATTGTTCCACTGGTCCTGACCAAATTTCCACACAATTTATAAAATTGCCAAGTTTCTTCCATCTCCTTTGTGTCATATAACCAACACCTGTATTCAATCGTCAGCTTTTCCAACGAAATGGAAAACAGCTCGAATATCCCCGATTCCAAAGGTAGATTATCCAAGAGCAAACGATGGCTACAGACCTGTTTCGATATTGCCAGTATTGTTTAAAATTTTCGAACGTTTGGTACTAAATCATATTGTTGCTTTTAATGAGAAAAAACAAATTCTAAACGAGAAAGTTTGCGGATTCAGGAAGGGACACTCGACGGTAACTGTGTTACTCGGTATTAAAGATATGATAGTACAGGCAATGGGAAGAGGTGAAATTACATTAATGGTTCTTGCAGACTTTTCCAAGCGTTTGATACAATTGATTACAAAACTTTGCTTTACAAGATGCATGCTCTCAAGTTTTCAAATTTGTTCTTGGAATGGCTGGTAAACTTCCTTCATAACCGTCACCAGTTTGTTCAAGTGGATGATAAAATGTCAGAACTGATACAGACTAGATTCGGTGTACCACAGGAATCAATACTGGGTCTTGTTTTGTTTAACCTGTATGTTACTGACAAATCGAACAGCCTTGTTTTCAATATGCTGATGATACAACAATTATCGTACAAGGAAGACCAAAGAACTGTTACTCCCTTGAGAATGCCATGAACAGTGACCTAATGAAGCTAAATTCGTGGTCGGCATCTGCTAATCTTGCCTTAAATCCAAAAAAGACGAAGGTCATGGTTCTCAGCACAAAGCAGCTATCACGTCATCACAATCTCGATGATTTTACTCCTGCGCTAAAAATTGGACAACAACCAATTGAACGTGAAAAGTCAGCAAAATTACTAGGTGTTATCTTAGACCAGCATCTTTTGTGGGAAGAGCACGTAAACAAGATAACATCATCCTGTTTTGGGGCTCTTGCCATAGTAAAAAAATTCAAAAATATCATGACACTAAAACTGAAAAAGCAAGTTACCGAGTTGCCAATAATATCCAAAATGGATTATGCCGATGTCGTATTTCATCCTCTTTCATTAAAACTTCAAAAACGACTACAAAAGGTGGAGAATGCAGCTGCCAGATTTGTTCTAGGTCGTTACGTTAAAGAAAAGGATATCATATCATTAGGCTGGTTACTTATGAAAGATAGACGAGAATGGCACCTTGTGAAGCTGGCTTTTAATTATGTAACAGATCATAACAAACCAGCATATATTGACATATCATTAAAAGAAAACAGTAAACATCTGAGGTCAAACTCTGCACCACAAATTGCCATTACAACAAATTCTAAAATTTTGAGGAACAGTGCAGCTGAAATTTTTAACAAGATGCCAAATGCGATAGGAAATTCAAAAACGAAAGCCGAATTCTCATCAAAAACTTAAGAATATTTTCTTACTGAAGCAAAAAAGAAAAAGAGGCTTTTAGTTTGATTCATAAAGAGAAGAACCTAACTTTTAATTCCAATTTACATTTTATCGAATTCAAACTATTCAATCTTTACTTTTCATATGACAACTTTTACATCGTGTAGTATTTAACGACCAGATGAAAAGCCACCCTGTGGAGATACTGGTCATGATTCATTATTATTATTTTTATAATTATTATTATTATTATTATTATTATTATTAATATTGATTTTATGGATCAAAAGAAGTGATAACATCACGAAAAATTGATCAACCTGTTTAATTCATTCGTATTGGCTGACTACTAATGAATATCAAACGAGTTATTATTATCGGTATTAAATAAAACTTTATGGTTCCAGGCCATTTGTAATAAATTCTTTAAATTTTCATTGCATAAGTCAGAAAAAGTTTCATTTTATTCTTGTTCCAGTCGAAAAAGTTTCTAAATAGCCCCTTGGAAAAGAAGCATCCATTAATTGGACTTGTAAAAGACAGTAAAAGACAAAGGTTGCACACTTCCATCTAAAGTACTGAGCAGCAGGGTCGTATTAAGAATTTCGGGGCCTTGTGCACAATCTGTACCTCAAAGCAACACAATCGTAAATAATTTTTGTAATACACAACAAGCACGTCGATTGGGCAACCGGCTTGTTCCTTAGAAAAATTTGGCGAATGTTACCTTTCCTTTCTTTCGCTTTTCTTTTATAACGGCTAGCTGGTTCTTTGTTAACTTCTTTTGAGAATACTCCAGCAATATGTGCAAGCTGAGAAAAAAGCAAACACTTCCTTTACCAGTAAAGCGAAAGATGCAACCACTCAGAGGCTGCATTCAACAGTTGTGATGCCAATCAAACTGGGCATGCGTAGGATGTAAATTTTGTCAACTTTTTTCATTCTTGCCGGCTTCCCAGAAAATTTCCTTGATATATTAGCAGCACTTCCATATGATTTTTCTGAAGCGGTGAAAAAGTGTGATAAATGCTGCAGAATGGGAAAAAAGTAAAATATGTTTGACAAGAAACTTGGATTTGATAACGTGTCCAAAATCCTTTCTGAAAAAGTCAGATCATTCTAGAAATTTGGGACCCCTTTAACACTAGTTCCCCTGGACACAGTGCCCAGTTTGCCTTGTGCTTTAATGCGGTACTGATGAACAGGCATTAGTGATATTATTGACGTTGTTCACATGATGATGTATCTATTCTATCTTTCCTACAACATCACCAGATCTCTTCCAGTGCTCACCCTTTCAAAGTATTTGTCGAAATCATGAACTCTTTCCCACAACTCTTTCCTTTCCATATCTTATAAAATTTGGAACGTTATAATCTATTTCTGCTTCTCAGACACTTACAACCTGCCTTTACTAAAAACTAAAATTACCAAACATTTCTTACTCCCCTTTTTTCTTAACCGCTTTCTCTTTTCTTTTATAAGGGCTTTGTTATAAACTTCCAGGCTTTTCCTTAACATAACCGACAAAAAACCATTGTGCATTATGGTATCTATTCTGCTGTGCTAGATACGGTTTTACAAAATGAATAACGGTTTTTGCGGTGCATTTTGGTTTTCTATGCATGTAAATTTGACCTAGCATAAGTGGAAATTTCTGGTCCAACGAGACGTCCTGGTTTCTGGTCCTGGTCCTGGTCCTGTTCCTGGTCCTGGTCCTGGTCCTGGTCCTGGTCCTGGTCCTGGTCCTGGTCCTGGTCCTGGTCCTGGTCCTGGTCCTGGTCCTGGCCCTGGCCCTGGCCCTGGCCCTGGCCCTGGTCCTAGTCTTGGTCCTGGTCCTGGTCCTGGTCCTATCCCAGCTTTTTCATCTTTCCTCTCTTGGTGTTACTTGCCATCATTATTCATACACCTGAAGTCACAGAAACTTGGGCAATTCTTCTCACTCTTCGTCTAAGCAAACGTAAGGTAATGGCAGGCTCTTGAGCCTCAGAATTTTTGATCTGTTTTCACTGTCAGTGACCCTAGCACCTCCATACATGGCAACTTGATGGACGAAACTTTAGTGGCGTACCCAAGGGGGGAATGGGGGTCAGGAACCCCCACTTTTCTAAATAATGGTCCTCGAGATTTGTCCAAAAGCGATGTAAAA